CATCTGTACACATTATATTTTCTGGTTTAATATTAGCATGCGTGAATCCAAAGTTGTTTAGAGAATTGAGAGCAACCAATGTCTGATAGGCAATGCCTCGGATCTCAGATAGATGGAAAGGTGTGCCATTTGCTGCAAAAATTAATTCTGATAATGTTTTTTCCAGTTTTTCGTAGACGAAACAGGTCCTATCTTTGTACGAAAAACATTCAGAAAAGTTCACTATGTTGCTTTCGTGAAGATTTAGATTTTTCAGTTGTGTCAATATCTTAGCCTCTCTCAAATTTTGAGAATAAAATTTGTTTTTCATAATTTTCATTGCAAAATGTTCACCAGTTCTGACATTTCTGCACTCGGCAATCTGTCCAAACTTTCTCTCACGCAATATTCTCACGACCTGATAAACGTTTGAGCTGCTTGCAACAGAAATACCTTCTTTAATCATAAAAGGAGAATTATACTCACCTTTCTGCGTGTATTTTCCCATTTGAAGTCCTCTTGTGTGAGCTAATCCGAAGTGCCTGTTGATATGTTGGGAGGTCCTCAGTGAATGCCAAAGATTCTGTACTTTGTTGACGTATAACACTATGACACGCCCACTCCTTTATATGCAAATGAGGTCACGTGACAGACAAGTGCTGCTAGGCAATGCAGCGTCGTTGTTGCTATAGTTACTAGTAGTCATTCCTGTTGTTCCTATGGTAGCGCCTAGCGCGCGTGCTGTGCGCACGAGAGACGTAAAATACTTTTGAGCCCTTTTTCGGTAAAAGGACGTCACGTATTTCTGTGTTTTGTCAATTTTATTTTATTTTTTTAATTCCCCGTTTAAAAACAGGTCACGTAGTTTTGTTTACATTTTTTTTGTTTTGTTTTTTTTTTTTTCATTTTAAATCGCTGATCAGCCTCCAAGCACCTCATCACCGTGTAACTTTATTAGCGTTAAAAAAGGATGGACCCTCGCACTGCTGGATCAGTGACTGTCGTGCTGTGCTGGACACAAAAAATTAAGCTTCCTGGAAACATCAAGAGCGTTACCGGTATGTTGTTCACCTAGTGTAAATTATGAATCATTACAGGATTGATGATAGACATTTGTCTGTTGTGTTTTGTGTCTAGAATAATCTGATAATAATAATTATCAGAATTAAGTCATTTATAGTCCATAAATCTGGTTCCCAACTTATCAAACTGTAAATGTTAAAGTCCTTCAAAATGAGTGCACAATTGTTATTAAAAGATCAAAAAATAGACCAAAATACATTTTATCTATGTAATAAACTAAATTAACTCGTATTTTTTATTTATTTATTCATTTAATTTTAATAAGGCTCACAATAGTGTCAGACTCTAAAACTGTAGCCTGTTAGATTTTGATCCAAATGTGGCCAAAGGTGGTTTAAGGGGCTGTTTACATCTGCTTGTTGTAAAATGAAACAGAGGCAACATATGTAAACAATAGATTATGACGTCACTACCACTAGATTAGTTAAATTTTGTGCTGAATCCAGGCAAAATGAACATTTCTGGTAAGATTTATTCATTTTTGTTGCACCAGGCATAATCTGGAGAAGTAATTATCATAAAATAAAGTTTGTTGCATGATAACTTAATTCATTTTACCTTTGAAATACACAAAGTTTCACTTTTTTGACTAGTCATGCAGTTAGAAATTACACATTTTGTGTCCTTAGTTTTGCTGCACTTGGAGGGAAGCTGAAAAAGTTCAGTTATTTGTATAGTGCCACCTATCATTCACCCATGTACGCAGACATTCACAAGCTGGTGATGATGAGCTGCAATGTAGCCACAGCTGGGGTGCACTAATGGAAGCAAGGCTGCTCAAAACTGGTAAATGGCTTCTTTTTATTTTTTGCCTTCTACGGTTGAACAGCAACAGATTGCAACAAAGCAGGACTCAATCCCACAACCCTCTGTTTGCGATGGCCACTTAACTCCCCTCCTACTGTTTTTGCCAGGTATTTATAAATGGTGGTGCTCAAGAAGAACGAAGTAGACACATTTAAAGCATTTGGTCGTTTATTTTCTGAGAGGTCAGCTGACTTCTGGAACTCTGTCTGGCCCTGTTGTATGCCTTGGAACGTGTACGGGATATCAGTGTTAGGCTCTCCATTGTTTCCCGTGTTAATTTGGTTGTTCTTGCTGAGGCTCTTATTGCTATTCAAGTTGGTCCGAGCAGTTTCCACGACGCAGTTTTCGACCAGGGAGCTGTCAGAGTTGGAGTCTCCTTGTCTTAGCACATTTCCCGGGGAGGTCTGGAGGTAACGCCTGTCAACACTGACAGCTGAAAGACATCAGTGAGAGAAACAATTCAATTCAAAAATACTTTATTAATCCCAGAGGGAAATTGATTAAACAGAATTAAACAGAAATCTCTGTTTGGCTCACCTCAAACAGCCAGGTGATGAGGACGGTGAAGCCAATGAACATCACAATGTGGATGAAGGACTCCAGGAAAGCAGGTTCAGCTCCTTCACCTGGTGTCCGTAGTTAAAGGCATTGGCCAGAGGCAAAATTCCTTTGAATGGCAAGTGTAAAGAAGTATTAAAACCTCAGATGAAAAAGGTTTTTGGATCTTTACGGCTGGAATTTTAAGAAAATCTGATGTTTTTGACTGGCGCGGCAAAAACAGAAGCTAGCTTCCAGTCTAAGCCCTGGGCAGCTGGTGACGTTTCACAAGGAGATCTGCTGAAACAGCTGCAGTAAACAGCCTCCCACTCCAGTGTTTCTGTGTTAGCGTTATAGCAGAATATACGTGTCATCAGTCAGATGTAGCTTCTGAAGCCTCTGCTAGTCGGTCAGATTTGGTCAGCCTGCCTGCTGGTGGTGGTTGGAGGGATTGGTGGCGCCTGTGCTTGGCAGCCTCACCTCTGTCAGTGCGCCTCAGAGCAGCTGTGGCTACATTGTAGCTCATCACCATCAGTGTGTGAATGTGTGTGTGAATGGATGAATGATACACTGTAGTGCAAAGCGCTTTGGATACCTCTAACTCTGAAAGGCGCTATACAAGTGCTCTGGTGTTGTGCACAGTTAACTCCGGTTGTAGCTAGGTTGCTACCTCCGTTAGCTTATCTCCCAGCTCCACATTACTGTAGCTTCGGGTTAGCTTCAGGTTAGCTTGTAGCTAGTTCGACCGGGTGTCGTCAGTTGATCCCAGCCTTAAAGCCCCACCCTCAGCTCCACCTCTTTTCCCTTTTGTGAAATTGTCTGGGCTTGACGGAACCTGTGACACGGTCAAAATGGCGGTGGTGGCCACCTCCCATTTTTCTTCAAAAACGTGTTATTGGATGCTATGGAAACCCATTGTCCAATATTTATATGTCGATGCGTTTAAAAGGAGTGGAGTTGTTGATCCGATGCTGGATGCAGGGCCAGAAAAGTTCGTGTTGCAGCAGCTGTAGCGAACTCCACCCATCGAAGTTCCCGCCATGTTACTCCTCAGTCGACTACAGAACAATACAGAAAAAAACGACCAGGTTCAATGTGATTTTATGAGTTTGCCACATTGTTAAATAGAACCTCCATTAATCTTCAACATGAGTTAATTTCTTACGACTTACATGTAAACTAACGTTAACTGAAATTGCTTCTACAAGTCTAATAGGTGGTCAAAAAATCTGTTTCATTAACTCTTTTTTTCCAGACATTTGTTCAGCTAGAACCCTCACCACCTGCTGGTAATTGCTTCACCTAACTTAGATATCTCATTACTATGAGTTGTATTTCGATTATGGAATATTATCTCATCATGACACATTCATTCATAATAATGAGATCTTTTTTAATTGAGTGGTGGGAATGGGCTTCCAAATCTTTGTTGCATTTTTAAGTAAAGTCATAAACTCTGCTTGATGCCCACCTGTGGCAATTTTGAAGTATTACAGAAAATATCTTTAAAAAATTAATCGTGATTTTTTTTCTAGTGTGGTGTCAATAAGTGTAAGTAAAGTAGTATGGTAATTATTATTTAAAAGGTACAATACAAAAATATAAACATAACTCTATGGTAGGTACATCCCCTCTGCAGTAAGAGTGTATAACTCCTCAGTTTAACTGGTACTGGCATTATCCTGTTACGCAATAACATCAATGCTATATTCAGTATGTGTTCAATACTTGTGCAATACCTGATGTCTTTGTCCTTTATGCTGCATAGTTCTGGAAACCCAAGTTTCCTTTTATTATCTGTTGTTTTTAATGGTTGAAGGTTACAATAATAACTCACTGTCTATGTGTGTTTACCTATAATCTTATTTTCTTCTTCCTTTTCTCTAAGTGTGTGTTTACCTATAATCTTATTTTCTTCTTCCTTTTCTCTAAGTGTGTGTTTACCTATAATCTTATTTTCTTCTTCCTTTTCTCTAAGTGTATGTGCTGCTATAACAAGTAAATTCCCCTCTGTGGGAATAATTATAACAAGCTATTATTCAATTTGACTCGTGCAAATTCATCCTAATACCTGACTTGTACCTCATCTGTTAGGTACTTTAACACAGTTAGTTTTTAATAACTACAATTCATCAGATTTTAAAAAGCTAAATTATTTTTTTCTTGTTTATCATAATTTACTTACACGTTTATTATTATAATTATATATTTTTACTGATCCAAAAACGTAGATAATCAGAAATAATGTTGGTCAGTAAGTTTCAGTTTCAGGTTTGCGAGCTTCTGGTTGCTTTCTCTGAAAACATGTGACCGCCACGCTGTTCCGTCATTGTATTTTCTCCCTCCCAAATACACACATTATTCGCATTTAGAGTATATCTACTCAGTTTAAAATACATATAATCTCCTGTAGAATTTAAAGTGTCGTGTTATGTACTGATCTTACATTCATAAATGGGATTTTTTGGGAATAAACACGTTGTTTTTTATGATTATTAAAGCCACATCTGCCCGGTACTGGAACAGCCAAATTCTCGTCTCTGATTGGTTATTACAAGAAAGAGGCGGGATCATGTTGCGTTTTCTGAGCAGCGATTGGCTGCTAAGTGTTAGCACACATTGCTGCACAGGTTGCCTAGCTAGCAGAAGGAAACATCATTGACCAGATCTGGAAAAAGGAAAGAAGCTTTCATGCAGTAAAACTAGTTTCCGTGAAGTAACAGCACGTTTGTTCTGGATAAAAGGTAAGGTTATTCACCTGCCACCAATATAGGAGTATTTAATGTTAAATGCCTACTTTATTGAGTAAAAAACATTTGGGTAAGCTAGTCTGCAAAGTAAAAAAAAACTTACCTTTTATTGTTGCGGTTTTTAGATTTACTCACTTTATCTATATTTGCTTATCAGCTGTCATTTGACTTAAAATGTAACTTTTCACCCGTAAGTTGTTCGTCACCGCCCACCAACAATAACATAAGAGCTAACATTTATGAGTAAATGTCAAGTTAACACTTTTATTTTTAGCTCCTGGTGAAATACCACCTGCCCGAATTATTCATCAAACACAAGTCTTAAGATAAAGTATTCCAAATATTTCAGTTAATTCGACAATTGGCCCTGTTTCAATAATAGCTGAAAACGCACAAATACGAACCAAGTTTAGTGAAGAAAAACAGTCAAGTCTTGTTTCTCAGGCGAACCTGAGCCCACAAATGACGGATTTTCTGCGTGATTATAAACAGTTAAATTTGTCTAACATGCATGTTTAAACATGTTCTACAAGCTAGACACGAACCTGGTCAGAATATTTAGTTTTAACTAATTTTCAGGACCGTTAGTTGGTTTTGTGCTGGGAGTTGTTATGGTTGTTGTGTTTACATAGATGTTTATCCCCTCATACCTGTGGGGAAAATGAAACTTAATTAATACTATTCAGTGATCATAGACTGGTTATTATTAGTGTAATGATAGAAATGGGACTCTCAGTGTAAGAATAAAAGTGCATTTCTTTTTATTTCACAAAAGAGCAAAGCTATGGGTTACATTTTACTTTATTTTATCATTACTGACCTATTAAATATCAAGAATGAGCCCTAATCATTTCTAGTTGTCAAAATGCAGCAGAAAGAAACATGCGTTTGTGATCAAACCAAAATAAAGTATTATTTTGTAGCAGCTTAGATGTTAATTGTGCCTTTTTGGGCTTTTATATAAATTCTGAGATGGGAGGAGTCATAGTAGTTATTGTGTCAGCAGCTCTCGCTTCCTACCTTTTTGGTTTAATGATGTAAGAGAAGAAGAGATGGCGAAATGCTGCCAAGTACAACCCAGGACTTGTGCAAACACCCTGATGCAGGCAGGAAACTAGAGAGCTTCCATGGATCATTCAGACTACTGGGATTTCTTGAGAACGTAGAGTGAATTCTTTTCAGATAATGTTGAAAAGTTTGACTTAATTGTTCAGTAGTGTGAAACTCAAACAGCTCGTGTTCTCGGAGAACATCTTTGTCCTTTCAGTAAGCTTTCCGCCTTTAATATTAATCCTGCTCAAAGAAACTGATTAACTCTATTGTCTGAAAGTCAGTCCATCCGTTTGTCTAAACTTGGAGGTATCGGGTCCTTCTCATTGAATCACTCCAGCTCCTCCCTGGGGGGAGAAAAATCACTCCAATGTTTTTATTTTTAACCCTCTGGAGACAGGCGTTGCAGATTTGCAACAGTTAAAACCATGGTTAAAACCTACCTACCTGGTTACTCCACATTAGTGTTGTCAAAAAAATCAATACCTAGATATAAATCGATACTAAAGTGGTATCTAAATTAGATATTCCATCCCTGTGGTATCGATATTATGGACTATTTTACACAGCCTTCTTCAAGTACACCGACACGCACAACAGCCAGATGCCGTAAAGCAGCCTCTGCCTCCCAGACAAACAGAAGAAGAAGACGCCGCATGGCTACATTGCAATTTTCCACGCGAGTTGTCTCCGATCCAAGTTTTGTCTGCCAAATAAATAAACAAAAACATAAACAGCGAATTTGGGAGGCGCTTCACAGCCCAACTTAATTAGCATACCAAGTCCGACACGTAGTTGTATATTCACGCTTATGTGCTTAAAGGAAAACTCCCGTTTATTGCAACCCAGACTTAATTTCTAGCATGCAGTACGTTTGTTTACTCACGCTGACAACTTTGGTGCTACTTGGATTCCCCGGAGTATTTAGATCCGTCTGCGAATCGCCATCAGCGTATATCCATATAACGGGTGCAGACGGGCACCCATGGTGCAGCCTCGAAATAAAACATTATCTGCACCAAAACATCTCAATGTCGAAAGGTTTTGTTAGGAATCATTAACGTGATTCCCCTGTTCGTTTGGAGCGGGTCTGGGATTTCTAGGCTTGAACAGACTAGCCGCGGCTAATCTAACCGGCGCTTTTAATGACGTCACTGCCGTGCGCCAATCTGTTTTTATTAAGATTACCGGTAGATGTACCTTTGTCCTACTGTGGAGAAATTCGTTCTCTCCCTTTATTGACCAACAGAGTTGTTCAGAAGTACAGAACAAAACATATGGCATTACATCTTATGACAAAAATGCACCTTAAACAGAGTTTAAGCAGCAAAACATCACTCTGCAAATAGTGTATATATAGTGAGACAATTCATGATTTAAAGTGTTAACTTTTGCCAGTTTTTGTATGCATGTTTTAAAAAATGCTGATACTTGAAAGGTTTAAGCTCTTTATACACTTAATTCTTAACATTTAATTTTTGCAATATAAATTGAGGAATGTTATTTTTTGAATAAACTTGTTCAATAAATTGGTGTTTTTAAATAGCATCGAAATCGAGTATCGAGTTTCCCCCCCCCCCCCAGTATCGAATCGAGTTTGAAATTTTAGTATCGTGACAACCCTACTCCACATACCTATTTCATGATCATTTTTAACTCAGAAGTACCCCTGAAGGACTTAGTTGTTCATCCTTTTATCAAAACTTATTTTGAGCCTGACAGGGTTAATCATTTAGTCCAGTTGATGATACATTAAACTGAAGGTGGGGTAAAGTCATTTAATCATTACATTTGCAGTGGTCTGGTAGGAATGAATGCCTAGTAAGTCGTACTCGGAGGAAAATAAAGCCCAGAAATGCTTGGATCAGCACGGGCAAGTCTGCTGCCTCAGAGAGGGGCAGCAGACTGTCTATCAGAAGCTAATGCAGGAGATAGGTGTTGGAGACTATTTTCAGGTTCAGCCTGCATGAAAATCTCAGCGTGACCGATTATAATCAAAAATAATCATGTAAAATATTTTTCAGTGGTTTTCCAGGCCCAATCCCAATACTCGTACTTCCACAATTGCACTCTTCAATTGCGCAATCCTGACCAAGGGTGCGAGTGCGTAAAGTGTCCCGGTTCTCAAGTGCGGAAGTTGACCATACCCCGTTTGCACCCTTGATCTGCGCTTCACCCAAGTCCGCATCGATCCAAACTTGGGTGAAGTTTATTACCCACAATCCATTGCTTAGGGAGAAAAGGCTCAAGTGCCTTTTAAATATGTATTTTCAAATTAAAATACTTCATTTTAGGACGATTAGTTGATGCTCTGAATGTTTTTGACAAAGCAGCAATCATTGTAAATGTATTTAAAATAATTGTTTGAAAATTGTTAAAAACAATAAAAATAAACTTTATTAAGTAGCACAGCGACCAGCATCCCAGCATGTGTTGCGGTTGCTTACACAATGCTCCCTGTCGCAATTCTGCAATTATTTGCTCACTTAACACCTTAATGCGTTTATTGGGATTGGGCCTCAAGCTCTTTGTCCCCTAATTTCCTAATTTATCATGCACCTGCTCTTGTTCACCAGAAGATGGCGCAGTGGGTCCAGCTTCAGATGTTGGACTCTAAGTACCTGGAGCAGGTGGACCAGCTGTACGACGACTCCTTCCCCATGGACATCCGACAATATCTGAGCAGGTGGATTGAGAGCATCGACTGGTAAGAAGTCCAACCCTAGAAGGAAAATCACTGTCCGGGTAGAAAACTAAATAAGGGGCTGCTGCGTCCCTGCAAATCATGTTGTCCCCTTTGGTCAGCTGATCAGCTGCTTCTGAGAGTGATATGGATGAAGCGTAATAGGGCTGCAACAACGAATCGATAAATTCGATGAAAATCGATTACTAAAAGCGTTGGCAACAAATTGCGTCATCGATTCGTTGTGTCGCACAACTCTTCCAAAAGCCCCCCCTCCTGGCCGCCATTGCGCGCAGACCGGAGCAAGTCAGATCAGCGCGAGGGAGAGCCGGCAGGTGTTTGGAAGAGGAACATGGCAGAAGCAGCAAGACCCAAAAAAGTAAAAACTTCTAAAGTTTGGGAGCATTTTCAGTTAAATCAGGCGAAGACATTCGTTACCTGCAACGTTTGTAGGTCAGACTTAGCATGGCACGGGAGTACTGCAGTGATGATGCAGCATCTTAAAAGCAAGCATGTCGGAATCATCAGCGAGGAGGGAGAGAGCTCTTTGTCCGGGTAAGTTAAAAACTTTTCAAAAGTGATTCACCCAAGTCCCGGATTATTACACAGGCTAGACATGCGCTAAGCTCGTTAAAAAAAAGTCTATAAAATCGTAAGCGCAACGCTATTAGATAAAGGGGGGGGGACTCGCACTGCTGCGAACCGGTTCCGCCGTCACATTCCCGCAGAAACTGGTTGGTCACACCGGGGCCAGACTACTAGCACCACAATGTCCTCAGAAGCGAAAACGCTTTTAAAAGGGAGGGAGGAGTCCTAACTGTTGCTGCAGGCGTGTTGTGTGAGTGCAGTTATATACTGGTTAATATATATTTGGGTTCAGTTGCTTTCATGTGGCCTAATGTGAGTCTATTTGGGATCATTGGAATGATCAGCAGCATTTCTTGATGTGACTTTATGGCAGTTGCCCAGGGCATCATCGTAAGGAGGATGGCATTCATTTACTTTTGTTTTATTTGGTATTTTTTCAGTCATTTTTGGAAATAGTGATTAATTTTGATTAATTCACAGCCTATGTTTAATTACATTTAAAAATTAGTTGTTTGACATCCCCAATTATAATAAATGTCTACAGATGAGATCAAACAAAACAGATGAGAATTGCCCTTAAAGAGCAAGTCACCCCCAAATAAACTTTTTTTTTGCTGATAAACTAAATAAATGAGTGTCGAATCGTGCTGCAGACACGTATCGTCAATAATTTGGCACTTCAGTGTAGGGCTGCTCAATTAATCGAATTTTAATCACGATTACGATATGAGTTTTGAACCATTATAAAAAACAAAACAAGCCGATTATTTTCTCCTCCCACTTGCGCTGCCCTGAGTTGCAAATGAAGCGCTCCTCACAGTGTTGCCAACTTAGCGACTTTGACGCTATTTCTAACAGCTTTTTAGACCCCCTTCTTGACTTTTTAAATCTTAAAAGTACCTAGCGAACATCTCAGAAACATCTCTGGTAACCTTTAGCTACTTTAAGGATAACTGTCGTTGACGTTTCCTGCAGGTTAGCTAAACATTCTGCCTGAGCTCCGGACCGTTCTTCACAACATTAGGAAAGGGAATGATGTAGTGATGTGTCAGTCGCTACAAAAACGGCTCTCAGAGTCGGCTCTGGTGGATTAACCAGAGTGAGTGACACACACCGTAACTGCGGACTTCTGAGCCGCTAAAAACGGCTAAATGTGCGCGTGCGGCGCGCTAAACACACGTGCAGCTTGCCCCTGATTGCTGAGACCGGGTTGGGAGGTGGGGGGTGCAGCTGTGGTTGGGACAATTATTACATTAACTGATGGACTTGTAAATAACTAGTTTATAAATAAGGTAGAAATAAGTTCCTCACGCTGATAACTAATAACTAATCTCTCTGAGGACACGGTGCTAGTGCACTCTCCTACAGCACCGTGACACGACTAAATAAATGTTATGCAACATTTTGTGAACATCAATTTATTTGCATGTATTTGTTATAAATGCCACTGTATAATTCTTGCTGTCAGTATTTGCAAGATATTGGTATTTGGGTCTGTACTGGTTAGACTTAAATGAATTAAACCAAGGTCTGTAGCCCTTGGGTCATAAACTATGAGCTGTAAGTATATTGGTCTTTTTATACTGGGAATCAGGAGTTATTTTAGTGATCATCTTGTTTCTTATCACACACCAGCTCAGTGGCCTAGTGGTAGAGTGTCCTCCCTGAGACTGGGAGATCAGGGTTCGATTCCTTGTCGGGTCATAGCAAAGACTTTGAAAAAATGGGACCCAATGCCTCCCTGCTTGACACTCAGCATTAAGGGTTGGATTGGGTGGTTAAACCACCAAATAGTTCTCGAGCGCGGCTGTGTCTGCAGCTCACCGCTCTCCCAGGGGATGGGTCAAATGCGGAGAACAAATTTCGCACACACATCAGTGTGTGTGACAACTAATGGGACTTTAACTTTAACTTTTTTTTTGTCCTGATTGTGCCCTGAGCAATTTGTTGACTGAATAAAAACAAATAAAATCAACATCAATAGAAAAATCATCATAAATAATCGAGATCTCAATTTCAGTCACAATAATCGTGATTATTATTTTTGCCATAATCGAGCAGCCCTACTTCAGTGCATCTTAGTTCAAATTTAAATATTCTGCCTAAAACTGGCAGTGTTGTGCCGTTGTCAGGTAAAAACTCTGCACTGTATTTTAATTTAAATCTGCCACCGCTATTGGCTAAGAAGTATGCTATGATGTAAACTGGTACATTATGATGTCACAATGCTGTCGTGAGCCTGAGTGTGTGTGTATTTGTTAGCGGCTCCGCCCTCTCGGTCTGCCAGGCAACAGCATTTGTTGCATTTTTCAAACATGAAGTGGGAGTGGAGTTAGACTCTGGTAGGGGTTGACTTGCTCTTTAAGCTGTTTAACTTGGACCAAGCATTTTAGGTCACAGATAGGTGTAGCTTACGGTCTCTGCCTACACACCTTATAAGACAATTTAGGTGATGGCATGTTGTTTTTCTGCTATTGAACTGTTTTCTAATAATGTTGTGTTTAATAAAGTGAAGGAAGGAGAGAAATAACGTTTCCCTAGCAGTTTTTAAAAATGCCCCTATGTAATCCGATTAATCGATTAATCGTGTCGAGACCCCATCCGATTCATCGATTATCCAAATAATCGTTTGTTGCAGCCCTAAAGCGTAAGTCAGTGTTTCCCCTAGAATTGTTCCCAGTCATGTCGCCGGGGTTCTGCTCGCAAAATGCTACAATGCTGCGTCTCCTGTGGGGGGTGTCTCGTAGATGTGGTGCTAGAATTTCAGCCGTGGTGCAGCTCCACTCCTGCGCCTATGCAGGAGAAACTCTGTAAGTTCAGTGGAGACCATGTCTTTGCTTTAACTGCTCCTGAATTATGGAACCACCTTCCCTTGGACATCAGGCAGTCCTCTTCACTGTCTGTTTTTAAACCCAGACCTCAACCATCTTGTTTAACCCTAACCCTACAAAAGGCATTAGCTTTAAATTGTTTTTCTTTTTTTTTTTTTATTAAACTTTTCATTTTTATCTTGACTGATTGCATAATTATTTTTCCTTACTTGTAGGTCTTTTTGCTGTAACTATTTTTATTACGTAGCCTGTTTTATTATTTTTCTACACATCACTTTGGTGCTGTAGGTGTTTAAAATGTTTTATAAATAAAGCTTTTATGAACGGTGCCCTTCAACATCTGGCGTAACCGTGGTGGGACCTCTGTAAGATAACTCCGTTGTTGTTTTGGATCTTCTTAGGGATACGGTGGCATCACAGGACTCCCTGGCAACTGTTCGGTTTCACGAGCTCCTGGCTCAGCTGGATGATCAGCACAGCCGCTTTGCTCTGGAGAACAACTTCCTGCAGCAGCACAACTTCCGTAAGATCAAGAGGAACCTGCAGGTCAGAACCCCACGTTCTCTACTCGTGTCAGAGTGAGTTAAAACTAAGAAAGTGACTGCGTAAACATGGAGCGCTTGTTTCTCCAGGATCGGTTTCAGGAGGACGCCCTCCATATGGCCATGATCATCTCCAGAAACTTGAAAGAGGAGCAGAAGATCTTGGCCAATGCAAAGGATTCTGTGGTAAGACCTGCAGCTAGACTCCGCTTTAATCCATCTAGATTTTATTTAAAGATGCTTTAATCATGAATTTGACAATGCTTCTGCAGCAGGAGAAGGAGGGGACGGTTTCAGCCATGGTGGTGGAGAAGCAGAAGCTGGACAACAAAGTGAAGGAGATGAGAAACATTGTTCAGGTGAAACAAACACGTTTCAGTCACATTTAAATAATCTCTGCTGTTCCTTTACCACAGCTAAAGTAGGGCTGGGCGATATGGCAAAAATAGAATATCACGATTTTTCCAATATTTTATCACGATTTCGATTTTATCACGATTTTTTATCCATGAATAGCATAACTTCAATTGCGTATTAAAGAAGAGAAACATTGAATAAATAAACATTTATTCATATTAGGGATAATCAGCACAGCGCTAACACACTTATATTTTAAACTCACACCAGAGATGATAAAAGCCCTGAGAGAAACAATTACAAAAATCTGTTTTTCTCATTTTTCAAGTAACTTAACATAAATTAAAATCGTAAACATATTTAAAGTGCAAACATGTCAATTGCAAACGTATTGTGCAAACATTAACTTGTTCAAAATACTATGTAGCTCCCAGTTGCTCATGTAGTGGATAGTTAAGCTCAAATACGGCTCTGATGTGCGGCTGGACCAGAGATCGCTTGTGGTAGCAAATAACTGCGCATTCTGAATATTTTCTGCAACTCTCACTTTGCATTCAGCGTACATGCGTGGAATGGCGGTGTTCGAAAAATACTTGCGGCTGGAAAAGTAGTAGCGCAAATCCAATGTTTTTATCATTTTCTTATATCCCGCTCCTACTGTTCGCACGGGACACAAATCTTTAACCAAGTGGTACGTCACTGCATCGGTCACGCTGTTCCATCGTCTGCTGTCTCTGTCGTAAGGAGTGAGTTTTGTGAGTGTTTCTGTTAGCGTTTGCTGCCAGGAAGAAGCACTAGCCGCTGCCGCTGCAGCCGCAGGCTTTTTATCTTTAGCTGCCAGCTGGCTCTCGTTGTATTGTTTGGGATGCCTTCTTTTCAAGTGATTAAACAAGTTTGTGGTGTTGCCATCACTTGCCTTGACGCTCTCCTTGCAAACTTTGCAAATGACGTTTCGTTGCTCTTTGTCTTCTGGTGAAAAACCAAACCAGTTCCATATAATGAACGAGGCGTTCCTCTTCGGAACGAAAACCTCGTTGTTGCTCTCAGCCGCGGCCGAAGCCATGTTTGTTCACACACAGGTGAAAACAAGTGGGGCACTAATATATTACTATGACTCACTCTGATTGGTTAAGGGTCAAACAAAGGCATATCATTCGCCTGAGGTAAGTTCCCTTTTCATTCAGAGGCAGAAATTCAACAGCAGAGTGGTGAATCGTGATAAAAAGGTCTCTCAAAAATGACAGACCGTCAGATGTATAGATCGTAAAACGGTCTAAAATCGTCATATCGCCCAGCCCTAAGCTAAAGGAGAATTTCCTTTGTTCAGATTATCGACCAGAACCTGAAGAATCTGGAGGACCAGCAGGATGAATACGATTTCCAATTCAACACGCTGAAGAACAGAGGTAGGAAAGTGCAGATGACCCAGAAGAACAAGGAAACTTAGACTGAAGTGGCTTTTTCTGATGTTTGAGTGAAGCTGATGTCTGGTTATGTCCATCACCTGCAGAGAACGACGTGAACGGCATGACGCCAAAGGAGCTGGAGGCAGAGAAGTTAGTCATCATGAAGATGTGCCTTGAACTGAAAGCCAAACGCCACGTGAGATTCTTAATCCACAGTTTTATGATAGTAGAAAGCTGAGTCCAAACCTTCTAAAACTCCGTGCCTTTTTGCACGTGTCCCAGGATGCTGTGGTGTACCTGAATGAACTGCTGAATGTCATCCAGGGGTTGATAACCGACCTGATCTCCGAGGAGCTGCCAGAGTGGAAGCAGCGGCAGCAGATAGCGTGCATTGGCGGTCCGCCCAATGCTTGCGTGGACCAGCTGCAGAACTGGTGAGACCGTTGTTGTCCCACAAGCTTCAGATAAACTTTATTTTCTTCTGTTGAGTTACCAAGAAATCGGAGACATCAGGAGAAGGCATCAAGCTGGAGTTCACATCTGACAGACATCTGGATCTAGAAGTATCAGAATAATACACAAGGTTGGAGATTATGGTAGTTTTTGGATCTAATGGAACCTGAATTTTCCCCCAAATCCCTAAAATTAGTGGTAATATCAATCCAAGTCAATTAAGATGAAGGGTTTAAATGAAGGTGACCAGACCAGACCAGAGGGGCTTGGTGTGGTCCTGATTCAGGGTCTTAAAAAGTCTTAAAAGTCTTAAATCGATTTAGTAAAGTCTTAAATTTGGGTCGTATGACGTGATTTTAAAATACGTTTGTCTCATACTTGCAAACTTGACGCTTTTCAGCGAAAATTGCCGCTTATGAAACCAAATGCGTTCACATGAATCAAAGAGTTTTTGTTTTAGGGAAGGCGAGTCTGGTCGGATTTTAGTCGCTCTTTATAAGAATCAGTTTCAGAAAAATGAGGAGTGTTCATCCTCTTCACAAACCATCTTTGTTAGTGGGTCACGAGTTGCCATTTGACCAATCACAGTCACAGAGACAGCTAGGGGAAAACGCTGCGGTAGCCGATATCACGGCGCCGCCACTACTGTCGCCTCAACATCTGGCAGCGGTTGGAACTTAAAAGTTCGTAAAATCATCAAAATCCCCTCCAGATACGTCAGTTTTCTGTCCAGAACTTTAGCAGGTTTGTCTCCTTTCGGTTTCAGCCTTAACTGATGTCTCCCGAGGCTTGTGTTCTCTTTTTTTGGAGGGGGCGGGAAGTTGAGTTCAATCAAGTGTTGGTCAAAAACAGCTTTCCCAGTAATTAGACAGGTTCATCCTTACCTAAAGAAGATTCTGGCAGACAAGGTTGTTGTTTCAGGTGCATGCAGGCTAAACCCTTTAGGCACGTCTTCCCTACATGTTTTATAAGAGATTTGAAATCAAGAAGAAGAAAAACTTGCAAAACCGTATGGATCTGTTCTCAGTGAGATGTTATTAGTGGAAAATAAACATAAATACGTCTAAAGACGTTACTGGTACTTTTACTGTCATTCTGTTGTGGAAAGTCAGCACAAATATTCAGTGAAAACTTTAAAAAGCTGCTTAAACCTTCATTATGTTACAGTGGGCCTGTCTATATTTATAAAATCAGTTGATTGTTTAAAGTAACTGTAACTAAAGTTACTCAGAGCCACAGTAGAAGGTCCAGCCTAAGTTACACCGGGGACACACCGGCCGCCGAAGCGCCGGTAGGCGAAGTGCTCACGAAATTCAGTCGCTGCTCCTCAGTTCCGACCAGACGCTTGTTTCTCCGCTCCGGTCGAGGCGCGCCTCGTAGTTTTTCTTTTAATCACTTGGTGTCCTCCATTTCCTCTCCGCTTTTTCTCTGCTCTTTTCCTCTACACCCCCCCTCCCCCTTGCTGTGTGTGTGTGTGTGTGTGTGTGTGTGTGTGTGTGTGTGTGTGTGTGTGTGTGTGTGTGTGTGTGTGTGTGTGTGTGTGTATACCTATGGTGTGAACCAGTTGTTAATAGCTGGCCTACGACTTTCTGCCTCTCTGTCCTGTTTGCTCCGGTTGAAAGACACCCAAAACCACACCCCCTTCACGTGGTCACACACACACGTTCGCTCTGTGTGTGTGTGTGTTGTTTTTATGCGGTGTCTGTTTACGAACACATTTGACTATCGCGTAATTGTATTTTGAAATGCTTTATTTTGTTAAATTTAACGGTCTGCCTCTTTATGTCTAGGTTTGGCTTCCTGCCAGAATTGACGCGGTTCACCCGCGGCTCGCGAAATAAATAGAGCAGACGCCGAAACGATCGCTGCACGGCGCGGGCCGGAGCGCCGGCGCGCGGCGCTTCGGCGGCCCATGTGGTCTATACAATAGGATAACAAGGGCGCCGAATGAAGGCGGTCTCAATTTTGCGGCGCTTCGTCGGCCGGTGTGTCCCCGGAGTTAAGCTGTGGTAACTGAAGAGGAACCAAGAAACAGTATTAAACCTTGCAGTTTGCTTGTTCACGTTTAATTCAAATAGAACATATAAGACATCAATTATATAATAATTGTATGTAAATTTAACATTCATGTTATAGATAAAAGGCAGAATAGATTAAAGAAAAAAACTTTATCTGGTTACATTGAAGCTTCACGTCCCACGGTGAGTAGTCTCTGTCCCACATGTGGTGAGTTGGGATCTGGTCATCCTACTTAAGAATGATTACAGTAATCTGGAATATTTTCAAATGTTTTCATGTTTGGTGTTTTGTGAATTAGTTTCATAATAATAGTTAATTATTATATGATGATCCCTAATCATTATCTGATTAGTTATTTCAGTTTATTAAATTTAGCTCTCTTGAACAGTAGGACTGGTAGAAAATAGCTTGCATTTAAAAAACATTTTTTTTAATATTCTCAATAAAATAAAAAAATGTCAGAGGTCACTACAAATCCCACTGTAGAATAGAGGCACATCTGCAGCACGTGAGGACCTTGTTTGGGGGGAGTTATTTTAGTTGTCACTTTTTTCACATCCTCGGAGTTCGTGACTATGAAAAATAGATGCATGTAAACTAAAAATATATATCTTTAGTTCTTCTATGCACGCGGTTAGCATTTTTGTACCACGTGGCTTTACGTATTATTGCTACAGCCTCGCTGTCCCGGATGTGACGTAACCTAACATGAAGTAGAAAACGAAGTGATGCAGTATTTAAAAACAACATATGAGGGTTTAACAGTTTATTAGTTCTTCGCGACAGTCTTAATTTCATTTTTTACAAGGTCTTAAAAAGTCTTGAAAAAGTTTTAACATTAATTTAGAGATTCCTGCATATACCCTGTGATAAGTTCCTAGAGGAACTTTTTTGAGGGGGGGGGGGGGGGGGGGGTGTTACCCCCCTCTATGCAATTGGCCTGGCTTTGCGCAATCCTTGATAGCACTGTGTGGCCGCGCCTGTGGGTGCAGGATAAAAGCCTGCTAGGTGCCACTTCAGAGGCATCACCTCAGGAGTTTCTGCCTGTTGGTGAGGCCTTGTAACCCTCCCACTGTCTTTATGGGTGACTCCACGAGGAAAGCTGACCATTGAGCAGGATTGATGGTTTATCCCTTGAGGTCCACGTGGCAGGGGTGAGGTGGTGCTCACTCCTCACCCCTGCCACGTGGACCCAAGGGATAAACCATCAACCCTGCTCAATGGTCAGCTTTCCTCGCGGGGTCACCCATAAAGACAGAGGGAGGGTTATAGGCTACATTTAATTTAAAAAAAATACTCAAAGCTCTCGAATGTGTTCAGTTTTTGTTTTATGTTGCGGCCTTATGAGCTGGGTCGTAACAGTCATTGCTCCTCATTAATCTGATCAGTTTTATTCACATTGAAACTGATGAGATGTTAAACATGGTGGAGAGCAGGAAGTGATCAGGCTTAGAGGAGCTTCAACTCTCAAACACCCTGCTGCAGGTTCACAGCAGTCGCTGAGAGTCTCCAGCAGGTGCGTCAACACCTGAAGAAGATGCATGAGTTGGAGCAAAATTTCACGTATGAGAACGACCCCATCCCTCAGAAGAAAGTGTTTCTGGAGAGCCGAGCTCTGGAGCTCCTCAAGACCCTCCTCTCCAGGTAGGAAACCTCAAATAAATCGGTTAGCAATCTCGCTGTTGTCTGTATTCAATATTGATGAGTGTGTGTGTGTGTGTGTGTGTGTGTGTGTGTGTGTGTGTGTGTGTGTGTGTGTGTGTGTGTAGCTCACTGGTCATAGAGAGACAGCCCTGCATGCCCACCCACCCACAGAGACCCATGGTGCTGAAAACAGGCGTCCAGTTCACCGTGAAACTCCGGTAGGAAACTAAACCAAACCATGAAAACAGAATCATACAGAATTTGAGCTGAGAAACAAATATTTACACGAGTCAAGCCAGAGAAGGGCCTCTTTAACACGTGCCCATCAGAACTCATGTCTTAAAGCTAACTGGAGTTGCTGCAGAGAGCGAACGCTGACTGAGCTGCTCTTTTCCCGTTAGTTTCAAAAGCAGAAAGGTTTGACCTTAATAAACGTGCATTTCTGATATTAGTTTCCTGTTTTTCCCCCTTCAGGTTTCTGGTGAAGCTTCAAGAGTTTAACTACCAACTCAAAGTCAAAGCTCTTTTTGATAAGTAAGATCATCTCCTGTTTCCACACGTTCCACATTTTCAGACCCATACATTTCTAAATATGGATGTTTTCTTCCCCTTAGGGATGTCGCAGACAAAAAAGGGTTAGTGTCTAACGTTTTGACTTGTTTATATGAAATCTATCCAACTAAGGTTTTTTTTTTTTTTTAATTCTTGAGAAGTTAAATGTATGATGATCCCTGAGTGATTATGTGTCTAAAACCAGGTTTCGGAGGTTCAACATTTTGGGCACAAACACTAAAGTGATGAACACGGAGGAGTCCAACGGCAGCCTGGCTGCAGAGTTCCGACATCTAGTGAGTTTATCGTAAAACTCGGTTTAAAATCATCGTTTTCTTCCTAAAACAAACAAAAATTATGCAGTGTTGCAATAAATAAATCTGATAACATCTCAGAAATGTCACCTGGTGTCATTTCTAAACCTGTCAGGCTCTGTTAATATCACTTTTAATTTATTAAAGTCACAGTTTAAATATAAAAACTAGTAAAAACACTAAATATGAAAACAAATATGGATTTAAAATAACAAAACTGTTTTAGAATGCATAAATTCTTAAATATTTACTTACAGTCCTTATTCTGCTCTCCCTACTTATTCCACCTTCCTCATGATCCCCTGATTTCCCTCTTTCCCTCTCTTTACACTTTTTATCACAATTGTCTATTTTTGCTCATTGTAAACATAGTTTTAGTCATTTTCTAAATTATTTTTTATATTTTAAATTTTTAGTTTATGTGAAGCACCTCGTGATTTTTATCTTAAAGGGACATTATGGAAGTTTGACAGCCAAAACATGTATAGAAATAATAAATGTCTTCTTCATACATTCTCCTGCAATGCCCTGGTCCTGTAGAATGAGGCCTGGCATTTTTACTGTGATTGCCTGTTTTTCTGTAAAACCACAGAAAAAGAGAGATGCTTGGGTCGAGCAGGCTGCTTCATGCGCGTTCACGCTCAGGCATCGCCCGTAGCATTTGCTATCCATAGCTTTAGCAGCGGAGAGAGAGGCAGTGCCACTTTGTCGCTGTTCCTAACACCTAGTGACAAAGCTAGCTACATTTCTGAGGACCCTTAGCTACTTTCTGTAGAACTTTCTTCTAGATATTTCCTGCAAATTAGCAACAAAATAGCCATTTTCGCTCCGAACCATTCTATGGTTTGATGTTGTTTCAGGTGTCATCAAGGATATAAATGTTACAGATAGAGTGAATGTTACTAGAGTGTAGCTCACCTAGTAAGACGTCAGACTCTCGTGCAGAAGACCCGGGTTCAATTCTGTATGTGATTATAGTATATTTAGAATTTCTTTTTTACATTAATGGTATATTTTATTTTACAGTAAGATGCCCAAATTTTTATTTGAGATTCGCCGAACGGCTTTGAATTCACAGATAAAAAAGATGTGGGTTCAACTTTCATTTTGGAACAATTTTTCAAGCAAGGGAAGGGAATGATCTGAGCATGCAGGAGGACTGACCCATCATAACCCTTTGTCGGCTGTGCTGAAGAGAAAGGTACAGAACCAAATTATTTAATTAATTAGCTGCGCGTCCTCTGTCCTCCGGGCCACACACACACACACACACACACACACACACACACACGGGACTGTCTCAGCTGTTATTTTCGTTAAGGAGTGTGCACGTACAGCATGCACGCCTCGTGCACGAGCCTACTATTGAAGCTGCCGTTACACTTTTGGCCTGAGGGGGCAGTCGCGAGCATAAAAATTCAAAAGTCCATAAAGTCCCTTTAAGAGGCACTATAGAAAAGATTTCTTCTTCTTCTTCTTCGTCTTCTTATGTCTTAAAACTAACAATAATTACCAAATTATGCCAGCAGGTGGCAGAATAGTTCAATCCCCCAAGATAGAGTGTTTGGTGGGCCTGTCAGCGCTGTATAGGTTTAGTGGGCCAATCACAGCGCTCTATAGGTTTAGTGGGGGAGATAATGCGATGGAGCGAAACTACTGAGATAGCGGCAGCTTATTTGAAACGGCTTTGGCATCTGTAGCGGTGAGTATATCACTGTGTTTGTTGTCCAATAGCATGCAGAGGTGGTTTGAAAGACACCCGAACTGTATATCCACGCCCCACGACTGAGCTCTGTCTATAGGTTATGGCCATACTATATGCTCACTTATATAGGATGGCTTGCCGAGCTACTTCTGTTATACTTTGGATTACTCTTCATGAGTCAGACCCGGGGCTGTGAAACCCAGCGTGCTGTGTACATGCCAGGTAGACAAATTCCTAATTAGCAGCTTGTAGACGCAAGACTAAACTCACCAGACTGCTGTTTGCTGCAATTACAAGTCCGATTTAGATTTACCATTTTGAAAAAAAATGTAAATATTTTTAAGGCGGCAGCAGGTGATAAACAATACATTTTGAAACAATATTTAAAATAACTTGGAAAATGTGTCCTTTTCTAAAATATCAAATTTGATGGTAAGTGTGTTTGATGTATTTTGTATTTTAATGAAAAATACATAAAGTAGCCTGAAATGCATCGCTACAGGCTAAACGCTCTCAAAGTGAATTGATGAGGCACCCCAAAACATTTACTGGCCCCCCCTATGGAAATGTTCTGGGCGCGCCACTGCTTCTGTTCAGTGTTCTGGTGCATTTTCAATTTTTGATTGAGGAGCACTTGAGGATTGTGACAACCCTGATGTAGACGTCTGATTTTATGAGCCAAAGGTTTCAGGTGGAAGAGACTACGTCTGTGATGGGATTGGGATAGTCCCGATGAGCTGAAAATTCCTTGTTTGTTATGTTTTGCCTCTCAGCCTTTTGGGTGAGACTAAAGATGTAGAGTTGCTTATTTGACCTGTTTTTGTCTCCATGCAGCAACTGAAAGAGCAGAAAACCGCCGGCAACAGGACAAACGAGGTATGAAGCTTCAAACTCCTCTTTATTTCAGTTCCAGAGGTCATTTATTACAGGAACAGCTTCCATGTCACAAATTCTTCCGGCTCTTGGAGGGTGCAGATGCTTTTCTCCTCCTCTCCTCCATAACTTATCCTCAAGGCCCTTTGTCTGTCTCTGCGTGCTGGGTGTACGGCTGATCTGCATTTTCTCTGGAAACTGGAAACTGAAATTCACTAAAATGGATCTCGTCAGTTGGTCACTCAACGCGATTGATAAAATCTTTTCAACGATGAGAACGGGAGAAGGGGCTCCCAGATGCCCCTCCATGACAGACCAGCTGTCTGTGGAGGACTCTGAAGATGTGTGGATATTCGTGGTGTTGGTGTCGGGTTTCCTGCTGATCAGCATTGGAGGCTACCTGGCTTACCGGAAAATTAATGAGCTGTAGAGGAATATTGGCCTGATCCCGGGGCTCAGAGATGGATTGCACCACGCTGTGAATTCACAGACTCACATAATTGTCGAGATGAATCGTAAGCTTGGGACTTTGGCCGAGATTCATTCATTGGCACAAAGATGGATGCCGTCAAGGATAGAGTGGACGAATCAGCACGGATTGGGATAGATTAATGCCCATTATTGGGATTTTGAGAGGTTGAGGACCAACAAACTGTAAGACAGAGAGGAAATTATCTCTGTCTGGCCCCAAAACAATTTCTAATAGGAATCTGGCGCCCTTGAGTCAGCAAGGCTACAATGAAAACTCCCCCCTCAGAAGATATGTGGAATGTGCCGTCGCTCTGGCAACTCAACTCTGTCTTTCCCTCCACCTGAACCAATCCTGATGTAACCCTCTTTTCTCTATTAAGGTAGCACGACTCAGGTTGCAAATGACCACAGTCACCAATTCTTGTCATGTGTCTATGCCCATGTATGTCTGATCTCTGAGTTGTGTGTACTGAAACTCTAATTTCCCTCTGGGATTAATAAAGTATCTTTGATTTCATGTTTATTATATATGTATGTAAATGTCAGCTTTAATGACAACACAGATGTACAAAATAAAAACTTTTATTTTTATTTTTGCATCACAAACTGATTTGATCTGGAGAGTCAAAACATTTCTCCAACAAACGTCTACGTCTCGTCGTCGTCCAGCTGCTGAAGTGAAGCAGATTTAGTTCTTCGGGTTTGAGATTAATCCCTCCCTCGTCCCTGTCTGGACCTTTGTGTGTTTCTGTTCAGGCGCCTCTGATCGTCACAGAGGAACTCCACTCGCTCAGCTTTGAGTCCGACCTGCATTTGCACCATTCTGGACTCACCATCCTGCTGGAGGTGAGGCGAGACACGAACACAACTTCTGCAGACCAAACTCCAGCGAGCGTGTGTGTTGAGGTGTGTGTTGAGGTGTGTGTTTGTGTGTCAGGCCGTGTCTCTGCCCGTCGTGGTCATCTCCAATGTGTGCCAGCTACCCAGCGGCTGGGCCTCCATCCTCTGGTACAACATGCTCACCACAGAACCCAAAGTGAGACCCGGTTCTTCTCCTACCACCGTCAGCCCTGTGTCGCTCTGCTGTTAACAGAACCATCTGTCCTCCAGAACCTGAAGTTCTTCCTCAACCCTCCAGCGGCGAAGTGGTCTCAGCTGTCTGAGGTTCTAAGCTGGCAGTTCTCGTCCGTCACCAAGCGAGGACTGAACCAGGAGCAGCTCAACATGCTGGCTGACAAACTCCTCGGTCAGACACACAAACAGATCCTGGATCAGCCTGTCTGATCTGGTTCTGCTCTCTTCTTTTACCCTGGGTTTGAGTCTTTATATCTGAACGTTTTCGTGTTTCTGTTCAGGAGCCAAAGCTCAGAGGAATCCAGAAGGACTCATCCCCTGGACAAAATTCTGTAAGGTGAGCCCGAGTCGCCCTGCAGCACCTGCTGTCATCCTGTGCTGCTGGAGCAGAACCTGAAGTTCTTGTCGTTTGCTCGGCAGCAAGGAGCCAACGAGAAGACGTTTCCCTTCTGGCTGTGGATCGAAGGAATCCTGGACCTGATCAAACGCCACCTGCTGTCCCTGTGGAACGACGGGTGAGTTGCCGTGATGACGCAGCGCTTCCTCGAGGACGGAATCCAACTGATGGGTGTGTTTGTTGTGTGCAGCTGCATCATGGGCTTCATCAGTAAAGAGAGGGAGAAGGCTCTGCTGAGCGATAAGTGTCCTGGGACTTTCCTGCTCAGGTTCAGTGAGAGCAGCAAGGAGGGAGCGATCACCTTCACCTGGATCGAGCATGACGTCCACGGTAACATCTCCTATGGGGGCCACAATACCTGTCACCTCCGATGAGCTCAAACTTCCTGTTCCTAAAACAATCTACTTCCTGTTTCTCCTCCCCCCAGACAAGCCGGTTTACCACTCTGTAGAGCCGTACACAAAGAAGGAGTTGACAGCCGTGTCTTTGCCGGACATCATCCGCACCTACAAGGTGATGGCAGCCGAGAACATCCCAGAAAACCCTCTGCGCTTCCTCTACCCCAACATTCCCAAAGACAAGGCTTTTGGGAAATACTACCCCAAACCGTCAGAGAGTAAGCCTCACAGCTGCTGCTGAGTTTCATTCAGCTCCAGAATAAAACACATCCTGATCACAGTTTCATCGCCTTCCAGCTCAGGAGCCCATGGACGTGGAGAACACGGATAAAAGCGGCTACATGAAAACAGAGCTCATATCCGTCTCAGAAGTGTAAGCCTTCACTAAACAGACCTGTTTAATGTTGGAATAACCCGAGGTTCTGACTGGTTCTGCTCTGGTCCAGACACCCTTCCAGGCTGCAGGACAACATGATGCCCATGTCTCCTGATGACTTCAAGGCAATAGAGCACCTCGTTGGTCCTCGAGACCTGGATGCCGTGGTGAGTTCCTGCTCCAGCTCTCGGATTAAACAGATTTAAAAAAAAAAAAAACAAAGATCTCCTGATGTAACAAGTTTTATATGGGGAGAAAAGTCTCTAAAGATCTGTGTGTGTGTGTGTGTGTGTGTGTACGAATTGTGTCATCGATTCGTTGTGTCGCACAACTCTTCCAAACCCTGCCCGCCGTTGCGCGCAGACTGGAGCAAGTAAGATCAGCGCGAGGGAGAGCCGGCAGGTGTTTGGAAGAGGAACATGGCAGAAGCAGCGAGACCCTTCCCGGACGAGCCCCCACGCTGTTACGTCCCCCAGCCCGCTAGGAGAGATGTTGTTGAGGGAGAAATAAAGTTGGTGTGTGGGTTGAATAATAACGGAGTGCTGTGTCGCTGAACCAAGGATTTTAATTACAGAAAGAAAAGCAAAACAAAGTGACTGTCTTATTACATACAAAACTAAAGGAAATACACGCAAACGGGGAACTAAGAGCACGAGGGGGAATTAATTAACCAAAATACAATCGCTGTAAACTCCAAGCTAACGGAGGGATGTCCTGTTAAGCAGGAACGCTGGGAAAAGTCCACAAACAAGGTCAAATAGCCGTTCCTAGATCGGGGATACCAGAGAGTCAAAATCTAATCCTAATACCAAAGCGAATACCTAAAGCCGAGACTAACCAACACACGCGAGGAGAAGAGAGCAGCAAAAACTCTTCCGAGCCTTCACTACCCTGGACCTTCTCTAAGAACTGTGGGCAGGAGAGCAGCCTTTAACAGCTGCCCATGATTGCCCAATTACACACAGCTGAGACAGGCGAGGCAGAAGCCACCGAGGCCATCTTGTGGCCGAAAAGGGGCAGAGCACGTAACTGTGTGTGTGTGTGTGTGTGTGTGTGTGTGTGTGTGTGTGTGTGTGTGTGTGTGTGTGTGTGTGTGTGTGTGTGTGTGTGTGTTATTGTACATACTACGTACTGAGGACCATTTTGACCATTTTCCCTACAAAGTGAGGACATTTTTTTGGTCCACTTTTTTAGAAGCATACCAGAAGCTTACTGTACCAATTAGAGGTATAGTGTGAATTAAGTTTTAGTTAAGGTTAAGAATAGATCTGCGTTGGTTATGGTTAGGGTTGGGGTGTGGACTAGGCATGGTGAAATCACAAAAATGAATGGAAGTCAACGGAGGGTCCTCAGGGTGTGTGTAGATGGATGCACCAGACAAGGAAGTGCATCTCTGGCCAGTTTGTGTGTGTGCAATAACGGTGGGGCAGCAGTTTACATGATGTTGTGCGCACACATAAACTGGCCTGTTAGCCGCTTCCTAGTCTGGGGACAGTGTATCAATCTGTCAGACCTTTAAAACCAAATAAACGGTCTAAGATAACAGCGGTCTCGTTATAACCAGACTGCAAAGTGGGCAGGTTTAATTCTTATTGAGGAAAGGTCACCAGGATGCTGCGCCATCTTTTCATGCCTTCTTCCAGTTTGAAACCTGCTTTTTATCTAGTGACCACTTCTTATACAACACTTTGACTGCATTTGCATGGCTCATAAACACATATATGTCTAAATAAACATTTTTAGATTATTAAATATTAAATGCTGGTCTATCTGTTATGACTACAGGATCCTGAGATACTCTATTTTTCCACAGAAAAACAAATTTGTCCCGTCAACACAAGTTTAGACTAAATCCAAAGGAAATTCTAATTTCTCAGCTTCCACCAAGCGTTCAAAATCTGTGTGTAATGTAGTTTTGTCTGTGTGTACCAGGTGATGTTTGTGTGTGTGTGTGTGTGTGTGTGTGTGTGTGTGTGTGTGTGTGTGTGTGTGTGTGTGTGTGTGTGTGTATTCAATGATTTGTATGTGTAGGAGCTGATGTTACACAAGAAAATGTAAACACAAGTTAAAAATCAAGACTTACACATGCATACATCTTTCTACACAAACACACACACAAATCTTTAGTTACACACACATAAATCTAGATACACACACATCTTTAGTTACGCACACATAAATCTTTTGAGACTTTTTTCTCTCCATAGTTTTAACTCTGAAGATGAATTTAAACATGTGACCTGTTCCTTGCCGCTGACATTGCCACTCCCCCGTCCTTCAGCTGTGAATCTGTGTGTGTTCTGCTCTGCTTTCAGGCCAGCAGTCTGATGCAATATGAAGATTTAATGTCTGAGGTAGATTTGTTGTATTAATCAGCATCCCGCATGCACTGTAGAAGAAAATGTCTCGTCCCCTTTCCTCTGCTCACGGCAGCCCGACTCTGCCGTAAACAGGGGGGGGGGGGTGTTCGTGGGAGCGGGGCGACTAGGGTTGGGCATCGTTTGATTTTGAACGATTCCAATTCCAAACAGGTGCACCAGGGCTTTTAGTAACCAGAGTACAACTTACACAGGATTAACTCCTACTAGAGACCACTGTAAATGTATTGGTTAAACAGGTGAACCACACCTTTAAGTGTTTAAATCCACTCAACCACTTCTTGTTGCTCTCAGGACATGAAATCAGTAAGTTAAACTCAGGGAAGCACCAGTTTAATAAAGTTCAGGTCCAGGATAGCTAGTTCCCTCTAAGGTTTCTTCTAATTGGAAACCGGCAATAGCAGAGCCACAAACACAACTACAAAGGCATTTAACGCCCCCTAGTGGCTGGTAGCAGGATGAGTATTTAGACCTGCCCCTTCTTTATAAATAACTGAGAAACAAATCATAAATTGGCTGAAAACAGCTTTTATTTTTTGTTAATTTCCGCCTAAAGAAACCATGTTTTTATGTATCATGAACAGTTTATGTCAAAGATCAGTTTACCATGGCCATCTCTGCTGGTGTCAGCTGTGACTCCATTGGTGTTCTGGGCCTCGCTGAGGTACTTTAAGGCAGCGGGGGGGATCCTCCAGTCCAGAGCCTGCAGTCGCTCCTGGACAGCGGCGTCCTGCAAGATCTCCATCTGCCTCGCCAGAAGGCGCTCCAGCTGCATCTGATCAGCACAGATTTAGTACACCAGCCTTAATATAAGAATGTGCTAAATAATTAGCTAAATTAGCTTTTATCACAATGTTTCAAGCCAGTGCTTCACCTGTGAGTCTTCTGCCTCTCTGCCACCAACATCTCCACCTGCCCAATTAGCTTCTGTCCCCTGTACATGCAAGCGAATGAACTTTGACAGCTTTGAACTCAATACCGCATGCTGAACCAATGTTTTACACATGATCATCACCCTAACATTTGTCACAAAGATCAATGTTATGTCTATCGTATCTTCATTATTTCAACCTCACCTGTGAGCCTCCATCTCCTCCAGGCTCTCGTCCTCCATCTCTTACAGCCTCTCCTGCTGCACCTCCACCAGTCCCTCCTCCTCCTCCATGTCTGTCACCTGAAAAAAGGATGCATGAACTATAAACAGAGGGAAATTTTGGAATGGAACAAACAGAAATATTTACAGGACGGTTCAAGTCTGATTCACAATTATTATTAATATAATGTGTAAGTTATTCATTACCAATATGAGTGTATAAAAACATATTAAATATGTTTTTTCCCTTAAAAGTGTTTAAACAGTTGTTACATTTCAACACAACAAAAAGAAATGGAAAAAATAAGATAAATCTAATGAAAAAGTGTATATTGTTGACATTAAGCTTTAAAAAATCTCTGTTGACGATGATGATACTGATCATTTTTCAGAGCTTTAAGTTCTAAGACACTTAACAAGAATAGAACAATTATATAATGTGAACATATACATTGCAATAGATAAGTTTACAATAAAGTTAAATGATAAAAGTTTTGAAGTTACACTTTACTACTACTACTAGTAATAATGATAATAATGATGATGATAATAATTATAATACAAATAAATAGTGTCTGAGGAGTCAGTTATGTGGAGGAGATGAGTGTAAAAGTTAGTTTTGAGTGTTTGTGAAGGAGGTGAGTGAGCTTAATGCAGGGGTGTCACATGTTCCAACTTACGTTTTGACTTTGAAAGAAGTCTCTTATATCCACTTTTCGTTTTCTTGACATGTTGCCGGCTGTGCCTGATTACCAAAAGTCTCACAAGTGAACACTTATTCAAATGTTATGTAATGGAAGCTGAGCTGAGCTCTGATATTTAACATCGTCTAGTTGACGATGTGACTCTTAATACCGGCATGTGGACCCTCGGACTCCTAGCGGCTGCAAATTAGCAAAACAACGTGAGCACGTTCTGACTGTTTACAACTTGGGAGTGACAGCAGCAACAGCCAATAATATGTTAGCAAGTATCAGCAGAGCCAATAGATTAGCTTTTGGGTGGGTCTAATAGGAAACCGGTTTCCGGCTCGGTCCTAGTGCTCAACTAAATCCATTTAATGGAGCGTAATATTGTTTTTGGACGGAAAAAAGTGCAGAGGACCAAAACTACCTTTTGAAAAAAGTGCCTCACCCCCCCCCCCCAAATTACGTCTCAGACCATAACCAAAGTCTGGCAGAAGCCTCTGGGATGAGAGGCTAAATGTCTCCAACATATCCAGGAACGTCCAGCTGTTTTCAGCTAAAACTCTCAGGATGATCATGTCCAGGATGACTGAGAGCTACACCTCCAAGCTGCAGCAGCATTCAGTCAGAACAGGAAGTGAAACTTAAACGCAGCTGCTGTCAGTAACAATCTAACAGATTTTAAACATTAAAACTCAACAGAAATTGTTCAGAAAGGAAATTAAAATGTTCACAACTTTGTGTGTGATTTATTATTATTATTATTATTATTATTTATTGTGGCAGAAGCTGGTGTGGTCCACCACAGAGAAGCTTTTCTAGCATGATGACTTTTGATTATTCTACAGGTTATTGTTCAGCCATCTGACGCTCACACACACACACACACACACGAGTGTTGGTGAGCGTCTGACTGCTGACGCTCTGTGTGTGTTTTTATTTCTGCAGTGAGACAAACTCACCTCACACCGTCCAGAGTTTGTTCTTTAACCCTCCCACTGTCTTCATGGGTGACCCCACCAGGAAAGTTGACCATTGAGCAGCATTGATGGTTTGTCCCTTGAGGTCCACGTGGCAGGGGTGAGGTGGTGCTCACTCCTCACCCCTGCCACACGGACCCAAGGGATAAACCATCAATGCTGCTCAATGGTCAACTTTCCTCACAGACAGCTGACGTGATCAGCTCTGAAAAGCGATGATCACAATTTGCAGATCACGTTTATTTTTCACGGAGATCGGCCGCGGACTCCTCTTCCGTCGGTATTCTAGGAATCGGAATAAAAAACCTTTATTTCGACTAACAGTTGGTCCCGGTTCCAATCGATGCTCGATGCCCAACCCTAGGGGCGACCCCCAAGAGTTCATTCAGTAGTGTGAGGTGATGAGTGAAAACACAACAATGGAGGATTCGGTTGAGATGTTGAGTTCGGCTCAGTCTGTGGCTTTTTGTCCCAACCAGAAAAGGCAGCAGGTTCTACTGGTACAGGAACCTCGAGCGACTTGGTTCTGTAACAAGTTCTGACTTGGTTCTTTAGCAGGTTTCCAGTCTGGTTTTACTTTAGGACTTCGTCTGATTTAAGTTTCCAGATCACTTATCGGACATGTGGATTTGGAACTGGTTTAAGTCTGAATTAAACTGGTTTACTGCTGGTTATCTTCTAGGAATTTATTTAACTTTTCATTTATCTTTTTGTTTATACCTTGGAAAAAATCTTTTCCTTAACTGAACCCGTTTAAGTACCGTTAGAGATTTATTTATTATTTTATTTATTTATTTAAAAGGGAGACTGCATATTCGTCAACATTTAAATGTAAATATAGGCCACTTTCACACCCGGGTCAGCGTGGCCAGGGCTGCGCTGCTGCAGCTGTGACCTGAGGTGGTCACGGCCGCCTGTGTTCCTCCCTGCTCTCTCCTCTCTTACCTGTGAGCGTGCCGCTGCACTGGAGCAGAAGCACTATGCTGCAGACGGTGAGATGTTTACTCCACAGCATCCACAATAATGAATCGCGCATGCGCAAAACCCGCGCTGGCTGATTCTACTCACATATTAGAGGCGGTGGGCGTGGATTTAAGCCGGTCAATCAATTCATAGTGTCACCTCGGTCCCACTGGGGCTGTCGAGGAAGAGGTCGGAAAAAGCGTCAGCTTGGAACGGAAAACACAAACCCTAACCCTTACCCAGATGTGAAAGTGGCAAATAACCTTCCTTGTTCTTGGAAAAACCTAAGTAAGGAAATGAAAATCTCAAAAATCATTTCATTGAGTTGATTTAAGTCACTTTTGAAAGACCGTGGCTCTCTGGGAGAATGTAGCTGCCTAAAGCTTGGTTTATGCTTGAGGCGTCCGCGAGGTCCGCACGGCTACGCGCGGCAAAATTGCGTCATTTTAACAACCACGCCCCTCCACCGCGCCTCCGCACGGCCCAAACTTTCCGCACCGCGCGCCTAGGAAATTTTCTAAATGGTCAGACGCGGAAAAACATGGCGGACCGGCAAGAACTAGTATGGCAGAGGTTCGTAAATACAGACATTTGTACGATTCAGCTCTCAAAGATCACCGTGATCAAAATGTTAATAATTCTTGGAGAGAAATAGCTCGCACTGTCGGAAATGACGAGGACGCTGTTAAAAAAATGCTGGAATGCCATGTTGTAAACAACAGTCATTTTTACTTCAACCGTGTTGAAGTGTTGGATGCATGCCGTAGAGCACCATGCTGCCCCCTACAGTTTGGGAGAATATTGGCTCACCGCAGAGACGAGCTGCATGAACCATAAACGCTGCGAGTTGTGAAGCGCGTTCCATCCGCGAGCCGCATCACCAAGCGGAAAGTAAATACGTCAAGCATAAACCAAGCCTTACTCGCTGAATCTGATTACCTTGAAACTTTTGTACTTCTTTGTTTTTATCTTCTGGATGTGGTGTTTTGTTTATTTTTGTGTTTGTAAAAGTCTTTGTACTTTTTATGCTGCTTTCTTGGAAATGGGATTAAACATCTCAATGAGGTTTTACCTGGTAAAATAAAGGATTATATAAATGCCAAAATTAGCCCAAAGCCTGCTTTACATCTGTAGACCCTGGTGGGGCAGAGAAGTGGAAACGACAGAACGTGACATGACTGAGACACTGACCCTTAAGCCTGATTCCTGCTTCTCCGTCTGTGTCAGTGCGGAGACACGCAACGCCATTATCCGTCCTTGCGGGCCTGCTGGAGAGCTCCGCAAGGACGGGCGGAGTCGAGCTTTCTTTTCTAAACATCCATCCGTCGAGACGGACAGTGCAAGTTTGTGATTGGTCAGGACGCCGCTGTCGTCTACACCGCCGCCATTGCGCCCTCAAGAACATAAAGAGAGCCGAGGATAACTAGCGGCAGACACGGAGCAGCTTGAAGAATAACTCGCGAAAAAACTCTAAAAACATGAACGTTTAATTCCCCGTGACTGGAGGAGTGAAACGATGTGCAGCAAGCGTTTTATCTGTGGATGGAAATGACAGGAAACGTGGGTTTAGAGGTGGTGAGCGCATGAAGAGGTGGAGGAGGATGAGAGACAAATTTGTCTGTGTTAAAAAGTCTCATATACAATAAAACACAATATAAACACACTATCTTGGACCGATACATGACAGGATACAGAACTAGAGCCCTGCACTGAAGCCCTAGGCCCTCGGGTCGGCCCGGCCCAACGGCCGGGATTCGGGCCAACGACTGTGTAATTACCTCGGACACGGGCCGGGCCGGGCGCCTTTTTTTTTAATGGAATTCATTAAAAAAACTGAAACACTTGAACGCAGCAGCACCTGCCTGCTTCTCACGCACCGTTAGCTCAGTTAAGGTGTGTGTGGTTTATAAACGCGCCTATATAAACGAATTCTCAAACTGCTGATTGAAACATGTGCCCCTATTCTAATACGCCATTTTATGTCCACTCTGATATGTCAGAAACCATTCGTTTATTCTCATGAAAACGACAGCATTCTATTTTTCTGTGAATACATTCGCTCTGCAGTTAAAAAAAAATACAGCATTCATTGCTGATTTTTTTTCTAACTGGAGAGCGAATTTTCAGAGCGGCAGATTAAATTTACAAACGCTAATCTGGGGCGTTTATTTCATCTGCCGCTCTGAAAATGCATGCTGCAGTTAGAAAAAAAAAAGCAGCATTCTAATTTTCTAATTGCACAAGAGCGCATTTTCAGAGCAGATTAAATTTACCAATGCATCCAATTAATATAGTGTTCGTAAATTTCATCTGCCTCTTGAAAACTACGCTCTGTTAGAAAAAAAGCTGCATTAAATGCTGTTTCTTTCTTTTCTTTTTTTTTTTTTTTTACTGCAGAAAGCTTCTCGCAGATAATTAGAATGCTGAGCGTTCTATCACGCTAAAACATTATGAAAGGTTAAAAAAAAAGTCTGGCTCGGGTCGGGCCAGAGAATTCTGAAAACCTTCTCCGGGTCGGGCTGGGGCTCCACCCCCTCGGGCCGGGCACGGGCTCAGAAATTAGGCCCGTGCAGGGCTCTACACAGAACAGCGCTACGCCCTCTGTTGTCCTGGTGGGGAATTGCTTTGCAACACTCTCCAGGAGACGGAGAAGCATGAGAGCCAAACGCCTCCGTCAGTCCGTGCGTGTCTGTCCCTTGCGGAGCTGACGGAGAAGCACGAATCAGGCTTTACACAGCAGCAGATGGGTGTAGCTGTTTTCCTTTCTTCTTATTTCTAATCTAGACGGTTTGACTCTTGATGTTGGTCTGGTTTTACAGAGGAGGTAGAGCGGGTTGTCCGGTAATCGGAAGGTTAGAGAATGCTGCTGTTGTGTCCTTGGGCAAGACACTTAACCCACGTTGCCTGCTGGTGGTGGTCGGAGGGACTGGAGGCGCCAGTGCTCGGCAGCCTCGCCTCCGTCAGTGCGCCCCAGGGCAGCTGTGGCTACATCGTAGCTCATCACCATCAGCGTGTGAATGTGTGGATGACTGATTGTGTTGTGAAGCGCCTTGGGAGGCTGTAGAACTCGATGAAGGGGTTATACAAATAGACTGTTCACCATTTAAACTGGTCTATAGAGCTTTCATCCTGTTTAAGTAGATATTAACCTTTAACCTTTCTCAGTGGGCTAGTGGTAGAGTGTCCGCCCTGAGACTGGGAGATCAGGGTTCGATTCCTGGTCGGGTCATACCAAAGACTTTGAAAAAATGGGACCCAATGCCTCCCTGCTTGGCACTCAGCATTAAGGGGTTGGATTGGGGGGTTAAACCACCAAATGGTTCCCGAGCGCGGCTGTGTCTGCAGCTCACCGCTCCCCCAGGGGATGGGTCAAATGCGGAGAACAAATTTCGCACACACACCTGTGTGTGTGACAACTAATGGGACTTTAACTTTAATTAATCTGAATGTTTCTAACTTTTACAAACTGCATGTTTAATCCAAACTGGTGTGGATGTTTTTATTTGAATAACATCTGTAGAAACCTCCTGCTCCTGGCAGGTGACTAACAGTTTGTTTTCCTCCTCAGATGAACTCTGAGTTTTCTGTAGACAACTGACGACACTCCTGTGGTCTTCGCCTCGTCGTTTCGCATCAGAGCTAACATCATCGGCTGTTGAACGCCCTGAGCAGATGGCATGTAGCGAGTGGTTTTATCATCCCTGCACAAAGGAATTCTCATCTGCAGCTTTTAGTGTAGCCAACTTTCACTTCACTGAAGCAGAGTAGAATTTCTCTATTTTCTATTAAATGTGAAATATAAAATGTTTCCTGTCAGTAAAAGTGCGCTGTTTAAATGTGACAAAGTGTTAACATTCTGCCTGAGCTTTGTTTTGACTGTATCTATAAAAATCTGTCCTGATTCTGATTTCTTTAACCTCCTGATCCCCGGAGTCATCATCAGAGCGTCGCTGTTTGTTTTATATTTATATGTTGCAGAGATATAAGTGACCCCAAATATCTTGGTTAAGTTAAAAAATCTCTTGTCTCAAGGTTAAAAGTGATTAAAAGGTTAAAAAACACCATCCATCCATTTTCATCCGCTTATCCGGAGTCGGGTCGCGGGGTCAGTAGCCTCAGTCGAGAAGCCCAGACTTCCCTCTCCACAGCCACTTGGGCCAGCTCATCCAGGGGAATCCCAAGGTGTTCCCTGGCCAGGTGAGACATAATCCCTGCAACGCGTCCTGGGTCTACCTTTAGGCCTCCTCCCGGTCGGACGTGCCTGGAAAACCTCACCAGGGAGGCGTCCAGGAGGCATCCCGACCAGATGCCCGAGCCACCTCAACTGGCTCCTCTGCTCTCACTGCAGATGCAGCACCAATCCGCCTGTCGATCTCACGCTCCAGCTTTGCCTCACTCGTGAACAAGACCCAGAGATACTTCCAACTCCTCCACTTGGGGCAGGACCTCATCCCTGAAAATAAAATACTTTATGTAAAACTAAATCTGACCCTGTGCTTCGTTTAAGTGACTCCCAAGAAATTTTCCTCCAGGATATTGAAATTTCTTTTCAAGAAATGTTTGGTTTTGAGTTTCAGGTGCACAAAAAAAAACACGATCACATTTAAACTCACGGTTCCTGAGTTGGAGGAAGCTTCCTCTGATTAAAAACCTGCAGGTGTTTCGAGTCTCAAGAGGATCATCAGCTGAAGCAACAGTTCTGTGGAGGTTCAGGACTTTGGCCTTTAACCATCACTACTTTCACCACTTTCATCAGGATCTCCATCATGGTCTGCTCAAAGTGTCAGTAGGTCAGGTCTGAAGTGGTCCTGGTGAGCTTCTCCACAGCCCCAAATCTGCTTCGCTTGAAAGTTGTTTAAAAGTGATGTTATGACTTTTCTTACTAAATATATAGTTTATGGCCTTTGCATAACATCTTCTTGAAGTTCCTTTCACAAAATTCCTCTCATGTAAAGCAATTTGAGCAGTTTTATTGATGACAGTTTCAGTACCTTCCAGAATGAGCTGTTTCAGGGCTCTGTCTGGAGCTGGCCATGCCCACCCTTCTCAGGCTGCTGTAAGCTGAGAAGCTCCTATATGTGGAAGCGTTTCAGAGTAGAGCCGCTGCTCCTCCAGCAGCTGCTGCTCTCTTACACGTGAGTGGCAGTTTTACCCTATTTTCCCCATTTATGACATCACAAACGGAGACATTTTGAAACAGCTTGTTTTAGGCACATAATTCATTAAAGTGACGATGTGTAGTTTTTACCATTAATCTCTGGAAATTTCCTGAATTAAAAGATGCAGAGTTGATGAAAAATATTGGCAGTTTTATAGCATAACCATAGCAGACCTGCCAACCTGTATGCATTTTGCGTAGCCAGTACACAATTTGGCATCTATTTATGCTGGTACGACTCACCCCTCTAAACTACGCAAAAAGCTGCAGATGGGTGAGTTGAGTTCTGTGGCAAATATGCTCGTGTGGCACTCATGTCTGACAACATGACTCAGTGGCGTGGCGAAGTTTAAGCCAATCATCGTAAAAAACCAGAGCTAACTATCCTGCCTAACTTATAGCGAAACACCCCTGCCCCCCTTCTCCCTGCTTCATCCTGTCCGCTGCTCCTCTCCCTCCGGTTCGCCACTCGCTGCTATTCTGGTAAGGTAAACTGTGTGTGTGTGTGTTTCAGCGGGCCGGACCGGCCGTCTTGGTGAATGTGAACGTGTAACGTTACTTTCACTGTTGAATATTCAAGGCAAAATCTGAGTGAAAAATAAAAATCTGCGACTAACGAGAAAGGCAGCTGTGTGTGTGTGTGTGTGTGTGTGTGTGTGTATTTTTGCCTTTATCCATTGCAGATAGATTTGGCCTGTCTATAAGGAGGAATGTGATTATATGGTTTAAACATGCGGCTGTTGAGGGTAAATGCTGTGCTTTTAAGCTTAATATGTTACCTTTACTTATGACCAATAAGCTGTGATACTCTATATAAATGTAAATCATCAACCTGCTTGGTCTTTGGATGTTTAATCAGAAGATTCTAGGATTCTTTGCATTTTCAGGGATCAAACACACTTCGTCTCGATTCAGAGTCAGGTTTATAAAAGATAAGAAATTTTTTTTTCTAAACAAATAAAAACAAGACAAGTGAGATTGTACGACTGTGATGGATGAATCTAAGAGGATGAGATGTGATGTATGGTGATTTAATGGTGTGTGTTTTATCAGAACCTTGTATCTAGAAGAACTAGGTTCTGGGTGTTCAAAGAATATGGTTTGAATTAAACTGAAATTGGTTCTTATCAAAACGGCATCAGACGCAATCTGGCTGTGTTCTACGTCCCCCTGAGGAGAATCCCTTTCGGATCCGAGATGTCGGGGGGTCGGGTGACCCCAAGGTACCAAAGTTGTAGAAGAGACCGCAGAACCACCAGGTCGGTCCAGAGTCATCTCCTGGATCACAACAGATAGATGAAATCGTTTGCATCTTAAAACAGCTGTTTCTGAATAGCTGAAGGAACCGTTTTGCTGTGTCAGCTGTAGGCAGCTTTTAGCTTGCCGAATGCTTCGGGTTAAAGAAGGTTCGCTCCGGATGGCCTGTCCGTAGCTTTCTCTAGAACTGACTCACCGTCTAGTGAGCTCTGTTTTAATATTCTCATATTATGATTTCTTGGCCAACCGGGACGTGCCATGTTAATGGGTGTTCACAAGCAAACCTCAGAACGTCACGCCTCTTTCAGATACAGGATGTTCTGATTTGTGGCTAAGAAAATATCTGTGTCATGACGTTTAACTTAACTAATTTATCTCTAATGAACCTTGTGTCTGAGTGTAGATAATGATTCACTTGTTAAATCTACAATTACTGATCATACCATAATAATATTCATTTCAAACTTCAGTAATTCAAGCACAGATTAATCAACCTTATTAATTTAAGCACAGATTAATCAACCTTATTAATTTAAGCACAGATTAATCAAAACATTATTGATCATTTCATATAACATTTGTTCATTCAATTTCACGATTGATTAACTCATATGAGCTGAAAATAGTCACTTTATTCAGAGGCATGAGGAATCCTGCGGTGTTATCAGAAGAAGGCTTTGTTTGGGAACACAGGCTGACATGTTCCTCCTGAAATGTCAACACGGTTTGCAGAACCTTGTTGCTTGTTGGAAGGTAGAATGTAAAATCCACCTTAGAGAATGGAGTTTATGTCTGCCAGTGACCAGTGGCATGTAGGTCAGTTTTTAGGTGAAAACTGATCATTGCTGGATGTTACACAGCCATTATATTTTTTCACAGCTCGTTTTGCAACTAATGCTATGGCAGATGAGGGAGAAGCAGACTTGAGTAAGTTTTTAAAAAAGAATTGTAATTCGCTACATTTTAAATCATATACGTTACTGAGTAAAAATAAATTGTAGGCTTAATAAATTAAAAATATTTCGTGTAGCAGCGTCGGAACACAAAGAGACACCTGCATGAGCACCGCATCTAAACACTTGTGTCAAGCCAGCCTCCAGTTTATTGTCGGTTCCCAGTCTATTCAAAGTATTACAGGAAGGGATGTGGAAACCGGATTTCAAAATAAAAGTAAACTTCGAGTGAATTAACAGATATTTTAAGAACATAACATATAATTTAGGCTTGTTTACTATTAGCGGCCCGTCAATATCAAGGCCATCTTACTTTGGATTTCAAAGTAAAAGCCCTGTGAATTTTCATTTTTGAACTACTCTTTCAATGACTTCAGAATGCTCTTAAAAGCAAAAGTCATATTTCCAATAGTAGTTGCATTTTGTATCACACTATCCAACCACAGCAATTTGAAATTGCCCATATCTGACAGACTTTTAACGATTTCAAAATGCTCTAAAATGGAAAATTGCTGTTTCCACAGGGTAATTCCACTTTAGATCAACAGTATACACCCCACAGTGATACCATATCAACATCAAGTTATTCTGATGTTGCCTTCCAAAATAAAGGCCTTTTTAAATTGTCCACAATTGACCTACCTTTAACGATTTCAAAATGCTCTAAAATATCAAATTGCTGTTTCCACAGGGTAATTCCACTTTAGATCAACAGTATACAACCCCACAGTGATACCATATCAATATCAAGTCATTCTGATGTTGCCTTCCAAAATAAAGGCCACACACACACACACACACACACACACAGAGAGAGATATAATCTAAAATATGATCTCTATATTTCAACATTAGAACCTCCATGACATCCTGGATTAGTGCAAACAACGAGTTGAGCTAAGGTGTTACTCCAGCATCAGGAAGATTTATTCTGGTAAATTGTCGGTTAAATATTTTCCAGAGTTATATCAATAAATACACACAGCAGTAAAACTGTAGATTACTGAACTATATTAAGACACATGATGGAGCTAAGACCAGCTGAGAACTCGTCACCTTAGAACTCCCAGTGGAGCACAGAAATGAAATATTTAAGAAAAGTAAACAAACTGTACCGATTTTGGTTCCGAAGATGTACAGAATCCTCCTCTATGTCCAAATCGGGTCGCAGGTCTTCTGAGTCAAACGGTCTAAAACATGTCTGCACCTCTGGTAGTGACATCCAGCTGGCGGGGTCGGAGTTCGGTTGAACTTCTCCGGTAATCCAATATCCGTTCCCAAACAGCCTCACCATGGATTTTGCACAATCTGCAATTACGATGTGAACATAAGCCACCAGGGAGCTGCAGGTAATTGGTAAATTAGCCCTGGTGATGTGTGCAGATGTGTTTTAAGTTTTCAAGTGTCATTTTTCTTTGGTACTAACACCACTGTTTATCCCACCTCTGCCACCAAATGTGAGAATGTAGAGCAGCCAGAAGGTCTTCAAGTTGAGAGAAGTAGAGGCAAACTGCAGCACAGGGACATTTTACCAGAGAGCCAAAATGCTTCTCCTGCATTTATTTCACCTCTTTCCTTTTACAGATCACCACATAACAAAAACAAAACCTCCCAAGCCTCCACCTGGCTTCCTTTAAATACCCCAGCAAATCACACCTGCAAACAATCCACCCCAATCATCAGTGCTCCAACATTAAATGCAGAGGGAAATAAACATCCACATAAAGGTACCTAAATGTTAACATAAACAAAAGACAAAACTGTTTTTACAGTACAAAAAACATTTTCACACTAAGACACATTTCAGTTAAAACATCCCCCATCACAGTGCCAGCAGACTACAGAAATAAATTACAGGGACAAATGGGAAATCATCCCTACCACTTCGTCACACCAATTTAATATTACATTCTTGAAAACCGAAACACCTATTGCAATTTACAAAATAAATAATTACCATTGACATAAATGTTATTTTTTTATTAATTTGTATTGAAATAATTTAATGCAAGTCACTTGTATAAGCACAAATAGAGTTTTACTGTTTAATATTAAAATGCATGATACTTTGGAGTCAGGTCAAACTGTAAAAATGTCTATAACCTTACTAGTCAAAATAAGAACTATGAACAAGTGTGTGTGTGTGTAAAATTTTCCATCCAGTGAATGGGGAGAGTACAGCGTGAAAAGCAATGGAGTTGCAAAAGTCCGCGAAAAAACGCCGCACATGGTACTCAAAATTTTTTCACAAAGTTGGCAGATCTGCCATAGAAGTCTGTTCTAAAATGTGGGAGCGGGTATAAGTCTCTGGACGACGCCATATTGGATGACATGTTTCCTTCTACGGAAGCTCGTGAGGACAAAATACATTTACTCATTCGTAACAAATGGTTACTAAACTTTCACCTTTAATTAAAGTTTTACACATTTACCTCCACTTGTTACCAGTGATGAAGGGGAATCTGATGTTCTTGTTTTTGCTGAAGGTTGGGCGCCATGGGATTTTTGACCCTAATGACCATCCGTTGGTAAGGTCCCACTTGAACACAAAAGTAATGCTTGCTTGCAATCATTTAGGTATGTACTGCTCCCTATCACCAGGGAAAATACACACTGTCACTTTAAAGCAAACACTGACACACTGATAGAAACAGTAAGTGACCTGTATTTGTATAGCGTCTTCTTGGGTGCTATAACCCCCCCAAGGTGCTTTACAAAACAACCATTCACACACTGGTGGTGACGAGTTACAACGTAACCACAACTGCACTGACTGAAGTGAGGCTGCCGTACGCAGGCGCCACCAGCAGGCAAGGAGGGTAAGTGTTTTGCCCAAGGACACTACGACAACAGGGCTCAAACCTTCTTCACCAATTTTACACTGACGCTCACATAGCAGCAGCAGAGACCCACTTGGAAGCACAACATGGTGCAAAAGGCGAATTTCACTAATACAAATTTCAGAGTTTGACACAAAGCAGGTTGCAGGTTTGAGTCCTACTCATTGCAAATTTTACCTCCTAAATTATGGAATTCAAAGTAAAGTAAAGCAGGAAGGCATTGGGATTCAAACTCAAACCCACTGGAGTACGGGTACTTAGTGGATGTGCTACACTTCGTCCTACCTAAACATCTTTCCTGCGTCAACATTTGAGCTCTTTTGGGTTTTTAACTGATGAAACATCTCAGCTGACAGAAGCAGCAGATCTGTTCACTTCTAAGATCTTCACCCCCATAACTTTTAGTTTCTTCTCTGAACTCTTGAATTTTGACTCGTGTTTTTAAAACGTTTACGTGTGTAACTTTAACATTTTAAAATAAATTCAGCTCATCATTTACATAACAGAAATACAAAAAGTTCATTTTTAAATACTTTATTAAATATTTTGCTGAGTGAATAAATATCTGGGCTGCCTGACCGTTTTAAGTCGCGGCAGAATAAATACACATGAAGAAGAAAGAACAAGCACGTTACATTCAGAGAACTTCAGCTGCACAAACACAAATACACACACCATGTGATCCAAAGAGCTGCAGGTCGTCTCACCGACTGAACGCTGCAGCTTTGTGCTCTAAACGATGAATACTCCGATTCTAGCCCGAGAACGGTAACGTTCCTCGGGTTCTCCACTCGATTGTTCAGAAACGGCATCCGGATATTCAGCACAACACAAACACGCAATCTACACATCTGTACAGCTGTTCAAGTATGAGATTCTTCTGCTGAAAAACAATCTGCATTGTAAAGCGCCACCAGAGGCCTTCCTGAGGAACACACACATTTTACAGCCGTATGCACTCGAGAGAAAACACTCCAGACTCGATCGTCTCTACGAACGTTTGAAATCAGCGCTGATGTCTAACCGCTACACCTTCAGAGGAACTGGCTTTACAATCAGATCATGCTTAAGAGCTTTCAGAACAAAGTTGTATTGTGAAAAACCTCAAAAGGGAAGAAGAAACCTAAAATGTTTGTTTAAAAAATCCAAACATCACACTAACACATGTCTGAAGGAAATGTTTAAACTTGATTCATGTTTGTTTTCATCTGTGCACGAAGATCCAGCTGAGCTCGGATTTTATGAACTAGACTTTGGCTCATCACAAGCCTCCATACTTTTTTCAGATTCTTTTAAAGATAATTCCATTTTGAACACTTCGATCTGGTTTCTTCTTTTTGTTTTTTCAAAATAAAAGTTGTCACATTCAAGTTGTAAACTGTAAAAACAACAATCACCAGCAGCTTTAATCCTCAGGAACCTAAACTCCCATCTAAAACTTCCCGTTCCTGTTTACGGACCAGATCCTTTGATTCCGGAATGTTTTTCCTGTCGGGTACACGTTGGTCGTTCTTAAACCTACAACAGAAATGTGTCTTTGCAATCTGGCAGTGTCATGACTGGTATGTACAACGCCATCTAACATCTGAAACTAGAAGCTTTGGCTGCTTTCATTAAAGTTCCTCATGTTGAAAAGGAATAAATAAAGAAAAACAACAGGAAATAAAAGGTTAAGTTCAGTTTTACAGAAAAAAAAACAAACAAACAAGGAAAAGTTTTAAGTTGAACACAGAAGACTTGAAGTTTCTGAAGCTGAATCCACCTGATAAACACCTGGGTGTATTCTCACACACACACACACACACACACACACACACACACACACACACACACACACACACACACACACACACACACACACACACACACACACACACACACACACACACACACACACACACACACACACACACACACACACACACACACACACACACACACACACACACACACACACACACACACACACACACACACACACCTCTGAGGAAAGTTTTAACTGCAGGTAGAGAAAAACATCTGCTTCCTGTTTCAGCTTTTCAGAATAAAACGGCTGAATCAGAGACCCATCAGTTTCACCAACAGAACCCAGGAAGAGGAGTAAAATAAACCAATTACCTGACTGAGAGCAAACATTTCTAAACATGAGAGGCTTTTATACTGAAGGGTTGTAGCTGGTTTAGATCCACTAGAGTTGATAATCGGGACGGTTCGTGTTGAATACATGTGCAGGTTGTCTGAGGCTTTCAGATGAACTCCGCCCACCTCCAGTCGCCAACCCGGTTTCCTCACAGCATCCCGTCTAGGTTCTCCTCGGCGTTCTGCTTCTGGGCGGGGCTGTCCTGCGGGCTGTACTGATTGTGGTAATCACGGAGGATGGTCACGACATCGTGGTGGCCGAAGTGCACCGCCTCGTCCATTGGTGTGTTCCCCCACCTACACACACACACACCGTCACCGTGTCACATGTTTAACGTCAGACAGAAACCAAACCTACTGAGATGAGGGCTTTAACGGACCGGTCTTTAGGGATGGGGTTGACCTTGCAGGCCTCCAGCAGGAACCGAACCACCTCAGCGTGTCCTGAAACATGCAGAACATGACCTCAGGCATCACACACACACATGTACACACACACACACGCACACGTACACACACACACACACACACACACGTACACAGGGGCATGTGTAAGTCTGACCTTCAGCGGCAGCGACGTGCAGTGCCGTCCTGGAGTCATAGTCCCTCTGCTCCATGTCCATGGAGGACAATGCAAACCTGCACAGTGACACCAAACATCAGAACCGGAACAGAACCAAGAACCTAACAAATATCCAGAGATGACTGAGGAGCAGCAGAACCTTCGTAGGGCTGAAACATCTCCGGTGTACGCAGCAAAGAGCAGGTTGATCACTGACTTGACCTGGAACAGAAGACCATGAGTGTGAAACCTGAAACAGATATTCCGTCATATTTGTGTCTCCAGCAGGTGGCGCTGTGGATCAAACTCCTACGCATAATATCCTACTCATCTACAGAGAGAGTTGTGGGACCCCTCCTGTGCGTGGGAAAACTCACCCGCTGGTCCCCCCCCTCCCGCCGAGGATCCAGTTTCTTAGCAAAGTGCCTCAGGTTGTCGTAGTTGTGGAAGTTGCAGAGAGAAACTAGATCCTGCGGGGGAAGGAGAAACATTTTAAAGCTTCGGCTGCAGGAGTTCTAACTCCTCCTGCTGGTTTGTATTTATTACATCAGCTCTGGGTTACCGTGCAGAACTGGATCCCTCTCACACTGTTTCCCAGTTTGTCCAGGGGAGGAGACCAGCACATGATTCCCATCACGTTGGGAACAACCAACAAAATTCCACCAGCGACGCCGGATTTAGCCGGCAGACCCACCTGGAACAGACGGAGGAGGCGGAGCTTAAAGAGTCTTACAGAAACTACGTCCTGCCGAGACTCCTGAAAGGGTGAGACGGAGCGGGGTACTGACGTGGAAGGCGAACTGTCCGGAGAAGTCGTACATGCCGCAGGAATGCATTAGACTCAGAGTGTTCCGCACCGCCTCGGGGCTCAGCACGCGCTCTCCTGTGATTGGACAGAAGCCGCCATTAGCCAGAGTCGCCGCCATGACGCTGGCGCTCTCGCACGTCACCTCGATGGAGCAGAGCTGGTGGAGAAAAGCAGAGAAAGCTTCAGACGTGATCCAACTAAAGCCCAGTGTGACCATCGCTAGGGATGGGTACCGAATTTGGTACTTTTTAAGGTACCGACCGAATTCCATAGTACCGACCGAGCACCGATTGACGTCATTTCAAACGGTGCCTCGTTTCGGTACCCATCCTTCATAACGAGAACTTGCCAAGACAGCTGCGCATGCGCAAGAGCGTTATGTCGTCGCTCGCTGCGAGAAAGTTGTAAACAGAGCAGCATGGTAGAAAGAACGCACGCTAAAGCTTGGGTCCACTTCACTAAATGTGATGGGTAACTGGGTGATGATGAAACCAGCGACAACGATCTAAATGAGACATCCTCATCTTAATCTGCTCCAGTAGGTAAATAAAATGTTTAAGATAACGTTAGCTTGATATGTTAGCTTCCGTTTCGCTAATGGTGAGTTCGCTTTCTCCCCGAAACTCAGAATTTCCGACTAGAAGAACATGAACGCGCTCTAAAGTTTGGCTTCACTTTACTAAATGCGACGGGTGATTGGGTGAAGATGAAACCAGCGACAACGATCTAAGTGTGAGGCATCATCGTTTTAATCTGCTCCAGCAGTTAAATAAACTGTTTAAGATAACGTTAGCTTGTTATGTTAGCTTCCTATGCCACCATTGTTATCAGCTAATGGTGCGTTCGCTTTCTCCTCGGAAATTCTAACTTCCCAGTAGGAAAAATCAAATGAAAAAAGACGGCAAAAGGAATGAAGATACACAGTAAATTTAGTTCACAGTAAAGATGTTTGCTTCAGTTTAATGATCAGCTTATAAAACTACAAGGACGATGTTAAAATACAAACAGTTGAATGTTATTTATCGTGATATTTATCAAATATTGTTATATATTGAGAAAAATATATATTTAATTATAAAAGAGAATTAAAATAATAAACACTCAAAAGTATCGAAAATTGGTACCGTTAAGTACCGGTATCGATTCCTAGGTACCGGGAATTAGTACCGAATCGATTCAGATGTCAAAGGTACCCATCCCTAACCATCGCCCCCCACCCTCCGCGAGCTCCACTGACCTGGAAGTAGAAGTCCAGGATGGCGGTCATGTCTGTTCCCTCTGGAAAACACTAAAAGGACGAAAACAGGATTCATGTCAGCAGATTTTAAAGGAACAACTGTGTTTAGTGTCTCTTAGACAGGAGACGTTCTCACCTTCTTCTCCTTCAGATAGTAGCCAATGGCAAAGTTTCTGTCTCCAGATTCTCGTTCGGACTGAAACCTGAAACGTAAACACGAGAAACTCAGAACCGATCGGTAGAAGCGTCCCTCAGCTAGAACCGGAAGGTTCCTGATCCACTCACGTGGCGTTGCTGAAGCCAACGTACTCGTTTCCTGCCAGCTTGTTCATGAAGTTCATCATCTGCAACAGAAAAACATTAATAACAAATAATACTAATAAAACCTGATCAGTTCAGGCAGATGCGTACTCACATAATCAAACTTCTCAGCGTTGCTCGCTCCTTGCTGAAACACAAAGCGTTTGTGCTGATCAATCAGCCGTTTCTGATGTAAAACTACAGAAAGTCCTCATGTGTCAGGTCAAAGGTCGCAGGGTGATGATGTCACAGTGGTGGGGGTATAAATAAAACAGATCGAACACGAGGACTTGAAACCGACCAGACTTAACGAGACAGAAACTAATTCTTCATCAGTCCTGATTGAACACAAACAATTACCAAACTCCATGTTAGGTAATACCTTAGCTGAAATCTTAACATACAGATGTTTTTATTAGGAGTTCAAGTCAGACAAACGAACATCTGTACATATTTTATTATTTATTTATTTATAGATGTTATTTAGAATCCGTAAGATTTGGAAAATTTTGCTCAGAAATACAACAAAACACCTGGAAGCGTCAGAAGGATAAAAAAACATTTTGTGTGCGTGTGTGTACACGGTTATTGTGACCAAAATTATCACGGTTTTCGGTATTATCGCTGTGTTTTTTTTAAACATGTTACATTTTCAGACAACTATATAAACCTGTATATCAGGAATATATTGTCCTCAGTTTGTGTCTAAATTTTGCCTAAAATGTGTTATTTTATAATGATGTTGTTTATTTGTTTAATTTTTTCCCTTTAGTCTTTAAAATACCAATATTTGCTCATAACTTCTTATTTTATGTCTGTTTGATGTCATCATTTTAAAAATATTAGATCAGGTGATACTCAGTACTCAAGTAGCCTTTTAATCAGATACTTTTTTTACCCTTACTTGAGTAATAAATAAACCCTATATCAGGAAAATATTGTCCTCGGTTTGTGTCCTTCCAGTGAGCTTTGCAGATGTGGGAAAATGTCATCAGGCAGTAATCATTGTTAAATTCATAATTATTCTCGGAGAGAGACCAACTCTTATCTGTCCCTGGGAGCCCCGTAATGCATAGCGTCATTTCAACATGGGGGGGTCCGCGACACGGTTTATATGCAGGTAGCGGCGCTGCGGCTGCTTTATATAGCGACTCGTTGCATTCTCCCTCAACCCAAATCCTCTGATCACGCATTTTAGCTAAAACGCTAACATTAGCTTGCCTTGCGTTGACTGTAGAGTTGTGGGTGATGGTCACGCAGATGTGTCATGAGATTTGAAGCGTTGCTGCCTTTCACAGACACTTTTTCTGCTCGTGCTGCAAACAGGATAGCCGTCTTCTATCAGCTGTCCCTCGGCATTCTTCAGATATCCAAAAAAAATGCCCGTACTTCCGACTGTGTCTTCTTTGAGGGATAATAAATGTCCTGAGTGCTGCCGTCTCCTCCTTTGGCCGTTATTTCAGCTTTAGCTTCAAGAAAGTTTTGGTTGTAAACAACAAAGTGCGCATGTGCCGCCGGCAACTTCAGCAGATTATACGGTGGCTGGTAAGGGTCACCGCGCCTACACCGCAGCCACGGTAATCACCGAGATAATATAGTTTTTAAAAAACAAGACGGTTATTATTATTGTTAACTTTTTTATTGGGGTTTACCGCTAAACCGGTTACCGTGACAACCCTATTAGTGAGAAAACTAAAAGACATCAGAGACGGTCAGGTATTCATTATCAGCAGCTGCTATTAATGGATCTTTAATTATAATCGACCAGAGATGACGAGGGGCTATCACAAACATCAGCTGTTGTTAAACGGACTGGTGGTGCTTGGGTGTGAGTCAGCAAGACAAGCTGTCTCCCTAGACTGTGATCCTCTACAGAAGCTCACCCGATAGGACCTTAACAACAGTAATAGACTGGTCTGAGCAGGAGAACAGGTGTTCTGATCCAGATGTTCCTACTGGTTCTGACCCAGAGACAAGGATCAGAATCAGCAGGTTTCTGTAATTAAGCTCCTCTGAAACCCTGGTGGACTCCTGATGATCATCACCAGCCTCCTGAGGAGGAACCCTCTAACAGCTGATGAGACTCTGGATCAGCAGGTGGCGCCATTGAGTTTCTGTGAGGAGAAGAGTCACCTCTCTGAGTGTGTGGAGGACAGAGGAGGTCAGGATTATTTCAGATGACAGGACAGTTTGGGTTTAACGTGTGTGTGTGTGTGTGTGTGTGTAATAACTGAGTGATGCCGCTTTCATTTTAATCCCCTTTCAGCGTGACTCTCTGTAATCCTAATCTGCCCGTTTACATTAATCTGCAGATTTGATCATTTTGTTGCAGATTATTTTACTTCCTGTAGAATTTTCCACCTGAACTCAGATGGTCACGCCTCCACTGCGACAGCAGAACAGAACCATCTCCTCGTCCAGACGCTTAAATGTGTTTCACATCCAGGCTGAAACATGAAACCCTTTAGCATGCTAACAAAGCTCACCTTGATGAGGGACGTGCAGACGATGGCGCCGGCGTTCACCATGGGGTTGTGAGGTTTATCTGCAGCCACACAAAAGGTTCAAATCAGTGAAGAAACACGTTTTTACACAAGCGAGAACAAAAACGAGAGCAGAACATGTTAGCGCCGGAGGTGAAAAGCTGCTGAGTGAACATCAGAATAATGAGAACAGAAGCTTTTAATGACAGAAATGAGTTAAACTTTCCTCCACCAGCAAAGCTCCATCAAGCTGGAGTCGGAAACATCTGGATGTGACGTTAGAGTCAGACAATGGCAGCAAAACAACTCATGCTAACAGATTCTGATGACACAGAAAACTCCATGTTAGGTAATACCTTAGCTGAAATCTTAACATACAGATGTTTGCATTAGGAGTTCAAGTCAGACAAATGAACATCTGTACATATTTTATTATTTATTTATTTATAGATGTTATTTAGAATCCGTAAGTTTTGGAAAATTTTGCTCAGAAATACAACAAAACACCTGGAAGCGTCAGCAGGATGAAAAACATTTGGTGTGTGTGCGTGAGTGAGTGAGTGAGTGAGTGAGTGTGCGTGTGTGTGTGTGTGTGTGTGTGAGAGTGTGTGTGTGCGTGTGAGTGAGTGAGTGAGTGAGTGAGTGAGTGAGTGAGTGAGTGAGTGAGTGAGTGAGTGAGTGTGTGTGTGTGTGTGTGTGTGTGTGTGTGTGTGTGTGTGTGTGAGTGTGTGCGTGTGTGTTTTGTGTGTGTGTGTGTGTGCGCGCGCGTGAGTGAGTGTGCGTGTTATTGTGTGTGTGTGTTTTTGTGCGTGTGTGTGTGTTTTGTGTGTGCGTGCGTGTGTGTGTGTGTGCGCGCGTGAGTGAGTGTGCGTGTTATTGTGTGTGTGTGTGTGTGTGTGTGCGCGCGTGAGTGAGTGTGCGTGTTATTGTGTGTGCGTGCGTGTGGGTGTTTTGTGTGTGCGTGCGTGTGCGTGTGTGTGTGTGCGTGTTATTGTGTGTGTGTGTGTGTGTGTGTGTGTGTGTGTGCGCGCGCGTGAGTGAGTGTGCGTGTTATTGTGTGTGTGTGTGTGTGTGTGTGTGTTTTTGTGCGTGTGTGTGTGTGTTTTGTGTGTGCGTGCGTGTGTTTGTGTTTTGTGTGTGCGTGCGTGTGTGTTTTTGTGTGAGTGTGTGTGTGCGTGTGTGTGTGAGTGAGTGAGTGAGTGAGTGAGTGAGTGAGTGAGTGAGTGAGTGAGTGTGTGTGTGCTTGTGTGTTTTGTGTGTGTGTGTGTGTGTGCGCGCGTGAGTGAGTGTGCGTGTTATTGTGTGTGTGTGTTTTTGTGCGTGTGTGTGTGTTTTGTGTGTGCGTGCGTGTGTGTGTTTTGTGTGTGCGTGTGTGTTTGCGTGTTATTGTGTGTGTGTGTGTGTGTGTGTGTGTGTGCGCGCGCGCGAGTGAGTGTGCGTGTTATTGTGTGTGTGTGTGTGTGTGTGTGTGTGTGTGTGCGCGCGTGAGTGAGTGTGCGTGTTATTGTGTGTGCGTGCGTGTGTGTGTTTTGTGTGTGCGTGCGTGTGCGTGTGTGTGTGTGTGTGTGTGTGTGTGTGTGTGTGTGTGTGTGTGCGTGTTATTGTGTGTGTGTGTGTGTGTGTGTGCGTGTTATTGTGTGTGTGTGTGTGTGTGTGTGCGCGCGCGTGAGTGAGTGTGCGTGTTATTGTGTGTGTGTGTGTGTGTGTGTGTTTTTGTGCGTGTGTGTGTGTGTGTTTTGTGTGTTTGTGTGTGCGTGCGTGTGTGTTTTTGTGTGTGTGTGTGTGCGTGCGTGTGTGTGTGTTTTGTGTGTTTGTGTTTTGTGTGTGTGTGTGCGTGCGTGTGTGTTTTTGTGTGTGTGTGTGTGCGTGTGTGCGAGTGAGTGAGTGAGTGAGTGAGTGAGTGAGTGAGTGAGAGTGTGTGTGTGTGTGTGTGTGTGTGTGTGTGTGTGCGTGAGTGAGTGCACGTGAGTGAGTGAGTGTGTGTGCGTGTTATTGTGTGTATGTGTGTAGTCCTGTTTGATTTCTGCAGCTTGTTTTTCCATCACTAATCACCGAGCCACAGCATCACATCTCCACGGTAACTGGAGAGGACTGGGCTGTGTCACTGTGACCTTTGACCCAGTCACACGCGTGCATGTGTCCTCACCGTCCTCGTTCAGGAAGAGCTTGTTGAACCTCAGGCCGCTCGGCTCCTTGCCGATGAAGCGGTGCACATACTCGGTTCCGTGGTCGTGAACGGCGACGGCGTATTTCAGCGGCTTCACGCACGACTGCAGACAGAAGGGAACCTTGGTGTCACCGACAGTGTGCCTGAACGGAAACATGAATGTGTTAAACTGCGGTTTATTTTCCTGATTCAACTCTGATTTTTAGGATAATTTCTGTAGAAAACGGATGACCTGACCTTTACAAAGAGAAACTAACTCGTACCTCTGTCCGTCCACGGTACACAGAGCCACGCCCCACAGGTCCGGGCTGAACCGAGCCAGCTGGGGAATGTAATCCGCCACCTGCAGCAGGAAGACAAACAACTAAAGGTCCACAAATACTCCTTCTGCACACCTGAAACGCCCAACACCTTCATCACGAGCAGCTACCTGCCCTCCCGACAGGTTCTTGGCGTTCTCGTACAGATCATCGATGTGGGCGCTGAAGGACTGGAAGTCTGGGACGACGAACTTCTTCCTGAAGGCCTGAGTGAGCAGGACGATGTTGCTCTGGACACACCTGAGACAGACAACAGAGTAAACTCACTCACTACTGATTCATTTAACGGCTCCAGTAAGGCAGCGTCTAGAGAAGTGGGAACAAACACACCCTCGTCATTGTTACCATGGAAACTAAATGTCCCGCAGCTTCCACAGAGCTCCCGGATCTGATTCTGAGCCCTAGCGACGCAGCAGAGATCACATGACTCCACGTAACAAGGCTGGGAGGGATTTATCATCAGACTAATCCCTGCAGGAACACACACCGGCTTCACCCCTCCTCCGCCCGCTCACGTGCTCCACCTCGAGAGCCTGAGCTCTAAAAATAAACCCAGGAGAGGAAGTGATGGAAGGTGGCCAGGAGGAGCAGCCGGTACCGAGTTCTGCTCCTCGGAACGCCACATCCCTGCTAAAACAGCACGATCATTACTAACCTGGTTTATTATGGGCAGATGTTGGTTGTGTTCAAACTCAAAGAGAAGATTATGAAACGCTTCCTGCTGTGAATAAAAACCTCCACCCGCTGCTCCGACACGAGAGCGGTGACTTAGTCATGAACCAGTGACCTTGTTTGCTGCAGAGACTCTGGCCAGCGTAAATAACTCATGGTTCAAAAGCAGATTTCTGTAAATTATTCAGTGCTTGGTATCCATGACAACGGCCGCTCTGGTCTGGCCTGTGGTTTCTGTTTAAGTTACAAGTTCAACTTAACAGCAAACCTTCTAATTAGCAGGTATAACCTACTTTTTGAAGAGGTGTCGGTCCAGCGCTCCGTCTGAGGTGGTCTTCAAGGTCATCTTCAGCATCTCCATGCATTCTTTGAGCCGAGGGTCTCCGGTTCGAAGCCCGGTGGATTTAAGAGCCTGATGACAGAGGAGGAAAGCATCGTGATGGGGATGTGTGCACACGGCCGAGTCAGCTCCAGCCTCCCTCTAGGTGTCAGGCAGACATCTTGACTGGGACTCACGGTGGTGAACTTGTGAGCTGGGATTTTTTCCTGGCCCTCTGCGATGGTGTAGAACAGCAGATCCTCCAGGCTGGGCAGGATGCCCGGCTTTCTTCTCCTACAGGAGACACACAGAGACAGGAGCGTGAGACCGCGCCACTCGGAGACGAAGGGTGTGTCGGAAACACGGAGGGGAGCTGCAGCAGAGGGAGGTGAAGCTCTCACTCTGCAAGGAGAAGCAGAACAGAAACTCTACAGCCTTCCTTCAGCAGCAGAACCAGTGGAGAAGGGTCTCCACGGGTTCTGCTGCTGGCAGAAGGCCACACTAGGGGTTCTACGAGTTGGAACACCAGCCAGGAATCCGTGAGGTTTTCGTGTCGGTGACTCTGTCTCGCTGAGAAACAGAACCTCAGGTCAGATGATGCTCCGAGGCTAGAAATGAACCAAACACCGGTGTTCTGCTGGAGTCTGGAGGCTAAAATAAAACCTGCTCATCCGCCTCGGACATCACCGACCGCAACGCTAGCAGTGCTCACCTCTGAATGACAGGATTTATTGGATGTTTTTGGAATAACAAAGCCCAATCGGATCATTTCCCTGTGGGTCCTGGCTGGTTTCCAACACGTTTCCACTCCGAGGCGTCTCTGGGAGGAACGGGTGGACCGGCTCGAGGCAGAACCTCTGCTGTGATTCGTGTTAAAGAAGAAGATTTGTGCAAAAGCTCTCAGCATCCAGGCTCAATGCATCATGGGAGCTCTGGTCTGTGTGCTGGGAGAGGACGTCTGGGTTCTTATCAGGATGGATCCTAAACTCGCGCTCCAGCAGAACCTGAGCCGTCAATCATTTCATCTCTCAGAGTTTAAACGTTAACGATGCCGTCAGGAGCAGGTTTAACAGATCAGCTAAATCTGACCTCGTTACCGACCCCTGCGGGTGAGAGAGGAAGTGGGGGGGGGGGGGGGGGGACAGCACAGCCACTGGGAGGAAGTGAGGTTGTTTGAAGGTAAAAGCAGGTTTCTGTAGAAAACCGATCATTAGTCACATCTAGAGCTAAACTAAAGATAAAAAAGAGAAAAATACTTACAAAGCAAGCAGATCAACAACAGGGAGAGATGAGCAGAGGGAATAATACTGAATTAGTATCAGATATTTACATTTCTTTCATCAATAACAGAATAAATAAACAATAAAGCAACAAATGAGCAGCAGCGGGATCAACCCTGTGGTTTTCATTCTGGATGATCAAATCAAAACCGTTAAAAACTGACGGTTCATGTTGAGATGCTGCAGAAATGAGACGAAAAGAGAAAAAGTCTAAAGGAACATCTGGATGTCCTCATTAGAGTCTGTAAAGGTCAGTCGTGACTCTCTAGGTCCAGAAGCTAAAAAACCTTTAAAAACACAAACGATTCTGTTCTGAACGTGTTTCTGTGCAGAAATGTGGATTTAATCTGAACTCCTCACAGACGTAGAAGTCTTTAACCCTCGTCCTGTTTATTAGAGTTTCGACGTCGTCATCTTCCTCCGCTTATCCGGGTCCGGGTCGCGGGGGCAGCATCCCAACTAGGGAGCTCCAGACCGTCCTCTCCCAGGCCTTCTCCACCAGCTCCTCCGGCAGGACCCCAAGGCGTTCCCGGACCAGATTGGAGATGTAACCTCTCCAACGTGTCCTGGGTCGACCCGGGGGCCTCCTGCCGGCAGGACATGCCCGAAACACCTCCCCAGGGAGGTATCCAGGAGGCATCCTGACCAGATGCCCAAACCACCTCAACTGATTCCTTTCGATCCGGAGGAGCAGCGGTTCTACTCTGAGTCCCTCCCGAATGTCCGAGCTCCTCACCCTATCTCTAAGGCTGAGCCCGGCCACCCTACGGAGGAAACTCATTTCGGCCGCTTGTATCCGCGATCTCGTTCTTTCGGTCATTACCCAAAGCTCGTGACCATAGGTGAGGATTGGGACGTAGATCGACCGGTAAATCGAGAGCCTGGCTTTCTGGCTCAGCTCCCTCTTCACCACCACAGATCGGCTCAGCGTCCGCATCACTGCAGACGCCGAACCAGATGCTTTTTTATTAGAGTTTCTCTCTTTTAAAATCACTGTAGATTAAATAAAATTACATTTTAAACTGTAAACTATATTCTCCTTAGGGGTTGTTTCAGCATGAGCGGCCTGTTTAAGGTCAAAGGTCAGATGTTCTAGAGTCTGTTCTCCATCCATCTTCTCCCTCTGGGACAGATTTACGAGCGGTACGGCGTAGGCGACCATATCTGTGCTGATGACTGTCACTCGGATGTGAAGGGGTGGCTTCCTTAAACTAAACGAGTCAAAGACTGAGGCCATTCTTTTTGATCCCAGAAACCTGTCTCGCACCTCTGTGCTTCAGACTCTTCTGAGTTTGGACCTCAAAAGGGTGTCGCCAGCCTCTGGATGAAATTTGATGTGGGATTTACAATGGTCCTTCAGATCAATGCGATTGTGAGGTCATGTTTCTGAAGCCGAGTTTGAAACTGTCGCGTTTGGAATCGTCCTAGTCAGGACTCCTGCCTCGGTCCTAAACCAGCTGCAGATTGTGCAGAACGCAGCTGTAAGACTCTTGACCAACACAGGCAGACGCAGCCATGTGTCTGGCTGTCATCCCTGATGGTACATAATCATTTCAGTCCCAAAGTTGTAAAATTACTCAGGTTTCTTATTTCCATCTACACAACATTAACCGCCTCCGACCGTCCCTCACATCTCACAGCGCTGCTTTTCTTGTTCACACCCATGTCACTTCTCGTATGGACTATTGTAATTCCCTACTTTTTGGTCTCCCTCAATCAGCTGGTCCAGGACTCAGCTGCCCGTATCGTCTCCAAAACCCCGTCCACTGATCACATCACCCCCGTTTTGAAGGAGCTGCACTGGCTTCCTGTAAAACTTCGGATCACTTTCAAAATCCTTCTTGCATTTAACCTCGCCCCTCCATATCTCAGTGAACTGCTGCAAATTAACGTCCCCATCCGTAGTCTTAGATCTTCCTCCTCCATCCATCTCTCAGTGCCCCGTTTCCGTTGTCTACCACGGGGTCCAGAGCGTTCAGTCGATCTGCCCCTTCAGTCGCTCTGCCCCTCACCTCTGGAACTCTCTTCCACCTGAGATTCACAACATTGACTTCATCTCAAAACTTACTTGTTCAAAAATGCTTTTTGTTTGTGAATCTCCATCCAACCATCTCATTTGTTTGTTTTTTGTCATCTGTTATTAGTGATGCACCGATATGAAATTTTGGGGTCAATACCGATATCCGATATTTAGATCACTGTTATGGCCGATAACCGACATTTGCTGATACCGATATAGTGGCATTAATGCTTCTAAAATCTGGAGATTTTGTATAGAATTAAATTATTAAAGCTGAATTTACATTATTATGTACACACAACACACACACTTACGGTTGAGATGATTACATTCACTGTTCGCATGACTAAACAATCGCACATCACCCCCCTCACCCGCTGAAACGTGCAAACAAATGGAGGCTAGATGGAAAAAATATCGGTTGTTAATATCGGCTCGGTTTTATTTATTGAACCGATACCGATAAGTAAAAAAATAGCTAACGTCGGCCGATACCGATATTGATGCTGATATATTGTCCAACCCTATCTGTTTTATCGTTTTATTGCTTTTTAATCTTTATTGGTTTAATTGAGGTGACCTTACTTTCTTTTATCATGATGTGTTATTTCTTGTCTTACTGTAAGGTGACATTGAGTGCCATGAAAGGTGCCTATAAATAAAATGAATTATTATTATGTGACCCTGGTTCTGGCACATCTCCATTGGCCATCTGTGGCTTTCAGGCTACAATTTAGGATCCTGCTTTTTGTATATAAAGCCTTAACGGCCTGGCACCATCATTTTTATTGGACCTACCCAAGCCCTATGTGCTCACTAGGATCAGCTGACCACCTGCTCCTCTGCACCCCCGCTATGAGCAACAAGGCAAGGGTAGAGCGAGCCTTCATGTGTGTAGCTAGCTACCACTCTCTGGAATGCACCGCCAATGACTATTCAACAGTCATCACCCACTGGTTCCTTCAAGACACAGTTGAAGACGTGCATCTATGATTTGGCTTCTAGATTGTGGCTCTTTTTTGAAGTTCATTTGTACTTTTTTATTGTGTGCTGTGATTGTCATTTTTATCTGCTTTACTATTTTTTCCGTATTTTATGTGTCTGTTTTTTATGCGGTTGTTTGGGAGGCGCTTAGGTCAGCCCCATGCTGTTTTTAACTCATTCGCTGCCAGCGTTTCTCACCGTGTTTACTGTGTTTTTAAGAGTCACAGAAGGTTGTGCGCTAGGATGATGTCGACGGCAAAACAACCAAAACAAAGCGGAGACTCACCTCTTACATCAGGAAGAGCTTACGTTACGAGCTTTATCCGTTCTTTCATAATATGTTGTTGAATTTTGATCGGCAGAATTTTTTCCGGTTCGCTCCTCACTTTTTTACAGCAGTGGCCCAAAACGATCTCCTAACACATGGATTTTCTGCTTTCTGATCACGTGACGTGTGACACACGCGGATGAAGATCGGCTTTAGAGCTGGGATGTATGTTCTCACGATGCGGGGGCTCGTTCCGACGCCCACACAGTAAAAAAAATGCAAATGACAACTTTAGTCGTCACTGGCAGTGAATGAGTTAATGTGCCATAGAGTACATTGATATGGTAGAGAGCACAGCAAGTGTTCCGGATGGTCCTGATGCAGCAGAGCAGCCCAGGTCATCACACTACCACCACCATGTCCGACTGTTATTCTGGGATGTTTTGTGTAACTGTGAGACGGGTCTGTCTATTCTGTTCTGCTGTGATTTCCAGCTCCCACTTCAGGTGATTTCATTAAACGGACTCCGAGTGTCTGCAGAGAGCAGCTTTAATAGAGCTGTGACCGACTGTGATCGATGGCGCTGGTTTCATGGCCTCTTTGGTCATCACAAATTGGCGTGAAGCATTTACGGGCGACGATTCACGAGTCAGACTCCTCTACACTTGGAGAGGCGCCGACGGCTGCTGGGGATTTACAGCTTGTAGAATGTTTCACCCTGGACTCATTGTGTTTGTTGCTTTTTTCTGCTTGCTAAGAATAATAAAAATTGAAACATTTTCACAGAGATTCTCAAAAACTCTCTGAGCCTGTTGGTGACGCTCAGTTTCACAGGAGTCGAGGATACGCAGAAACTGAAATTAGCCTCCAGTGGAAACAAAAATCAGTCAGCTGAGCTCAAACGAGGCAGCTAATTACCCGTGAGCGAAAACAAGACGACGCCAGTGCTGTCCTGAGGAGCGATGGAGCATTTTATCATCACAGATTAACAAAGATCACAGTTGTTAATGCAGATGTTATACAGCTGTTAGTAATCAGTCTATAAACTCAAACCAGTTCCGTTTTTATCATTGACTAAAATAATTCTGACCTTTAGTAGGAGTGTAGGGGGGGTAACCAGTACTTTGATACACCTGAAGGATCAGAGTCTTCTGAAGACAGGATTGCTCTTACTTTGGACAGAGATGACCCAAGGAAGGCACACGAAGGGTTGGCATTAATGAAGTTTTGACACGTGTTGCTTGTGTTTGAGCAGAAGAGCATCCTCAGGTGAGAAAAAAAAAACACCAGGTGTGTTTCATCTGAACCCCAAAAGACTTAAATCTAACTCAGTTCTGCTTTTGTTGATTTAATAATGACATAAACATATCAACTCCAGCACTGGGCCATCAGCTTTACTGTTCCCCAGCTTTGAAACCTGATAAATGTTTAATAAGATGCTAGAAATGTGGATTTATTTAATTGAAACTGGTTTTGTTATGATGTTATTTGTATTTTGGTCTGAACGGACCAGCAGCAGACGTTTAACTGATGCAGAAGATCAGCTGCACATTTAGAGTTATGTACTAGGTGATAAGTCTGTTTAACACATCGCGATTACATAAAGTTCCCTGGAGCTGGGATGATGCTGGGATGCAGCCATGCCTGACCTTCATTAGACATTGAGAATATGCTGATGATGGAGATCAAACCTGCTGATCAACAGCAGCTTTACTTGTTTATTCTAACAGAAAAGTTTCGTGTTCAGATGCTGCAGCAGCAGCAGGTTTTAGGTGAATCCATCGCTGAGTCAGTTTCAGGAGATGAAAGCTGAAGCCTGTCTGCCAATCGTCACGATTTATAGCATCATGAATCCATTTTCGGACGCACATCTATTTTATTTCCTTTTCTTTAAGATTATCGTTTCAGATGAACAGCCTTTTGTTCTATTACAGAATAAATATTTTAATGAGTAAATGATAAAAGCCCACGCTGAATGTGTGACGTTGTTATTAACCAGAGTTACTCACTTGTCCGAGTCCCTGCTGGCGTCTCCATGTCCGTCCCCTTTGGAGCACAATCCTCTGAAGCCCGGTTTCCTGATGAGCTGCGGGCTTCTCCACCCGGTAAACGGCCTCCCTACGCCCGGAGATCTCCGATCCGGACCGGATGTACTGAAACAAGCCGCAGGAGCCGCTTTCACCTCGGCTGCGGTTGTGCGTGTCAGCGGCCGCTTCAGCTGGCTCTGAAAAAGCTCCTTCAGCACTACCGTGGGCCGGAAAGGTAACATTTCAGGTTCGGGGTCACTTGTTCGACTTAAGAAATGTCTACTAAAACCGGAAAAGAGCGTTTCCCGGTGACAGCTGGATCCCAACGGTTCTCCCAAAGCCTCACCGGATCAGAACGTGCATCACAAGCTACAACCTATCCTTTAAGCTCTGGCACGAGTTCTGATTGGTCCAGTGGCAAGTATTCCTGCTTCTGATTGGCTGAACAGAATACTATAGTTTGACTGTTTTCCACATAATGAGTAAATTAAACACACTTACTCCCTTTTACACGGTTTTAGGGGTTTAATTGACCTTTAATGTTCACTCGAGAAATAAAATATTTTAAATTAGACTTCGGAGCAGAAACAAAAATAAACATAGAAAAGATAAAGAGGAAGTGTTGAGATTAAAGTCCACGTCTGGAAAAATTATTTCCATCATAAATAGAATGTTGAGAAGAAATTCCAAATAATAAACCCAGAATAAAGTAATAACACAAATAACCTCCTCCAATTCACAAACATGCACCTACACCTTCTGAAGCTCATTAAATAGCTTATTAATATTTTTCTCAGTTAACTCAAGCTTGTATTCTAAGTTTCGAATGTTTAGAGGCGCGCGCGCGTGTGTGTGTGTGTGTGTGTGTGTGTGTGTGTGAGAGAGAGAGAGAGAGAGAGAGAGAGAGAGAGAGAGAGAGAGAGAGAGAGAGAGAGAGAGAGAGAGAGACTTTTGTGAAGTTATCTGATATTTGTTGCAGAAATTGCTCCAAGAATGCACTTCATGTATGTTAAATATTGTAATTTTTTAAAAATTTACTCAATGAGAACAGAACGGTAGACTGACATAATCTATTATACTGAGGGGCCATGAGCAAGGGGACAGATGGTGGAAGGCACCTTCTCAAGAGAAAAGTAAAGACAGACTTCACAATGATGATTTGGATGACGTCTTTAAAATATCAACACACCAGCAGCTTCGGGTTTCATTGAATGAATAATTTGAACAGCAATGAAAACATGAACTGTTGTCCTGCTCTGACACCTGGTGGAGATCCTGCAGCGGTGCGCACATTCACACAGTTTCAGTGGAACAGCACCACCTGCTGGAGGAGCCGAGAACCACAAACCAAGAAGGGATTCTAAAAAGCTGCATCCATACAGTCACGTTGTGCTTGTTTGTATTTTAAAGTAGCTGCTCGGACGCTATGAAACAATTTTATATTATCATATTATGACTCCATGAAATATTTTCTTGACTCCAGCATGTTTTTGTCCTGACCTCTTTGGTGACCTGCCTGTGTGGGAGAAATGTGACACAGAATTAAACACTGACCTACTAATTCACTGAAAACTGGGCTTTTATCAAATTTTATCAATGTGTATGTAAACGTTACCCACCTGGAGCTCCAGGGAGGATAAAGCATGCAGATTAGAGACGAGTAATAAGGATTCCTGCAGACTTGGTTAGGAAATATTCGTGAGTTTGAGAATTAGAGTTAAAGAGAAATTCAGAGTAAATTTACAGGAGGAACTATACGAGATAAAACCAGCAGGATTCTAGTTACATTTGCCCAAAAAGGCCTTAAGTGTTGAAGGGATCAATGAAAATGTCATGTGAGCTTTCTATTTAATCTGCATGCTTACCAGCAGCAGTTTACATAGTTTGACACAAATTTCATTTAATGTTAAGTTAAAGATGATTAAAAACTCACGTTGTGTTATGATACTCAGAAAATGTTTCAGTTTAAGTCTAAAACATGAAGTAAGCTGTTAAAACTGGTGACAAACCTGCACTTTTCCCAAATTATAGCAGAATTCTGAGTCTACTTTTGCACATTTTGTTGTTGTTAAAAAAAGAAAACAAAGGAAGGAAGTGAGGGAGACAAACAAGGCGATCCCTAACGAAGCTTCAGGGAGGAGAGGCAATAATTCACCAACGCCCACACCTTCTCAAAAGCAGTCAGCTTCCTGCTCCCTTCAAATTGAGGGTGATGGGTGCAGATCCCTCCCACGCTTCTTAGCGGCTGGCTTCCGCCCACCACCGGTGGAGCCGCCGCCCACCTCCAGCCGTTGCCACGGCAACACATCATGATGATGATCAGTGACTTGAGCTGGAAGAGGAGGAGGCGGCAGGACGGGGAGGGGAGCTGGGCTGCCACTGTGAGCAGTGCTCGGCGTGGGCGTTCATGAGCCGAGCTTCTCTCCAGAGAAAATCTGTCTGCGTGTGCGAGGGGGGGGTGGAGGGAGAGGAGGACGGGAGGTGTGTGAGAAGGACCTGCGTCAGAGTGACTCATGAAACACTTTCACAATGAGTAGATGTGACGCTGATGCAAATGGACTGCACAGGGATTCAGATAAAACTACAAAAAAAAAAAAAAAAAAAGAGGCCGCTCCTGCCGCACACGGCCTTTTCATCAAACCTGGTTCTGGTGCTGAAGGTGACTCAGCACTTTTACAGATTCTGAGGAAGACCAGCAGCAAAAAGCTCCTGTTCCAGTCCTTGTTTCTGTTTTGTGTTGTCCTGGCTGTCCTGGAAGCTTTTAGACATGTTTTGATCAACAGGTCTCCTGAAGGTCTCTGGAGCTTCTCTTAAGAATTTGGCTTATTTTCACAGTCTGAAAGAAATTATAAATGAAAGGCCAAAAGTTTGTCAAAGGAAGTATTTCCTATCGACGATAACAAACGATAGAGCCGCTAATTATCGAATCAATTGTCACACATGATTTGTTAGCATTTGCTAATGGTTGTAAATGATTCTTTTCATTCTGGACAGCATCTGTCCTGTCAGAACCAGATCAGTTCCTGCAGTGAACCGAATGTAGAAAAATCGAACACTTGTGGAAGAAAACCAGTCTCCACGTCCATCTGCTGCATCTAAAGGACCTTCTGACATCCTTTATCTCTGCCTCTCCCGACTCCAACCCGGTCCGTCATCCTAGATCGCTTTGCTCCTGCTTCTTTGCCTGAGCTAACCAAACTAGTTTACTCTATGAAGACCTCTGCATGCCCTTACCCTCATCTTTGTTTAAAAATGCTTTTCAGTCCATCAGTCTGTTTCGGTCCTCCAAGTTGAGGTCCTCCCAACCTCCCTCACCCATGGTGTCCCACAAGGTTCTGTGCTAGTGCCTCCTTCCTTCTCTAACTGCTTCCTCTGCAGCACATCCTGAGCTCCTTTAACCCTCTCAGGCTCAAAATAAGTTTTGATAAAAGGACGAACAACTAAGTCCTTCAGGGGTACTTCTGAGTTAAAAAATGCTCATGAAACACGTATGTGAAGTAACGAGGTAGATTTTAACTGTTGTAAATTTGCAATGCCTGCCTCCAGAGGGTTAAAAGAATCTCCTACCATCTTTACGCAGAAGACATCCAACTGTACATCTCATTTAAGCCCCATGAGATGTCTAAGCTGCAGCTGTTACACACCTGCTTAGACTCTATCAAAACCTGGATGGCTGGGAGCTTTCTTCAGCTGAATGAAGATAAGACTGAGATCCTCATCTGTGCCCCAGACAAGCTGGTTCCCAAAGCCAGAGACTCTCTTGGTCAGCTTGCTTCTCACACCAAACCCTCTGTCAGGAATCTTGGTGTGACCTTTGACCCAGCTCTCCCCCTGGATTCTCATATCAGTTCTCTTGTTCGCTCCTCCTTCTTCCATCTCAGGAACATTGCTGAGCTGAGTCCCATCCATTCGTGCTTTGAACTTGAGACTGTTATCCACAGAGTTGGACATCTTACGTTAAAAAGTGATTAGTTATAGTTACAAATTACTTTTTTCCAAAAACTAATTGAGTCAGTTACCAAAACCTCCCTGAACCGTCTACAGGTGGTTCAGAATGCCTGTGCTCGGCTTCTGACCAAGTCTTCCAACCCACATCGTTTCGCTGCTCCTCCAGCTTCACTGGCTGCCAGTCAACTTCAGGGTTCATTTCAAGATCCTGGTTCAGGGCCTTACATGGACAAGCACCATCTTACATTGGTGATCTTCTTAGTCCCTACACCCCCAGCAGGTCCCTGAGGTCCAGTGACCAAAGCCTACTGGTCGTGGAGCGCACCAGTCAAAAGACCAAAGGTGACCCCCAGACTCTGGACCTCTCTCCTCCTGAACCTGAGATCAGTGGACTCAGTGGTCTCCTTTAAAAAGCAGCTTAAAACTCACCTGTTCTAGCTGCTTTGATGTGACCTCCTGCTGATTCTTCATCACTTCCTTCTTTTCATGCTGCTGTTTACTTTTCCCCTATTTTTTATTACAACATATATATTTTTTAATAATTTTGTTTATTTTATGTTCGTGTGAAGCGCCTCGTGATGTTTCATTTGAGGGACGCTATATAAAACATTGTTTCTTCTTCTTCGAAGTCAGAAACTTTTATGTTTGCTAGTTTTAATTAGCCGTGGCAGCCATCTTGAATCTGACAGCTTCCAACAGTTAATGGGCTGAAAACGGTCATCCAGTGCTGACATTCTGAGAGTTAATACCAAAACAGTGGTTCATGAGACAATTAACATAACTCAAGGGATGAACCAGTTTGCCTTTAAACTGGATCTTTAGACACTTTGTTACCCAACAAACACATCAGGATTTATTCAACAGAACGGACCACATGATAGAGTTCAAAAAATAAAGTTTAATGTTTATGTGCTGTATAACAAATAAAATATATTAGTGTTTAAAAAACAGGTGCATAACTGGGTGATGCCTAATCTATCACTATAAATTAAACAGTGAGAGAACGGTGATCAGTGAGACGACATGCGCTGATCTCAGAAACTTCGTACGAGCGTTCAAGCCCATCACAGCCAGAACTCGGTGGCTGCAGCCAAACACACTTTTTTACAAGTTAAAGTCATCGCTCATCTGAGGAGTCTTTAAATACAAACAGAGCTGCGAGACGACAGACGTTTCCCACACTGATGACAGACATACAGTTACTGAGCACATGACTAAACGATGCTTTTAGAATGCAGATAGACTTATTACTTACATAAATATTGCATTGATCCCTCTGAGAGGGACTAAACTATGTGCAGGAAGTGAGGAGAGCGAGTTCAGACCAAACAGATGTATATTTACACAATGTGGTGAACAGAAAAACACTCAGCATCTACGTCTAAACATCAAAAACGATCAGCACAGACGTTCATTACAGGTGGATTAAACACTGTTAGAGCCAAGGCTAAAAGCATCTTCTTATACAACAGACGCAATCAAACATTTCTATTATCCTTAGAGATGTTGAGATGTCTTTTTTTTTTTTTTTTGCTCTACATACATGAACACTGTTCTGACACCAAAAATCTACAGCAAAGTTACACTGGACACACAAACCCTGACAGATTAGGCTAGTTCTTATATTTACAGGCTGCTGCTTCACCAACAGCAATAAACCTCTCTCTCTCTCTCTCTCTCTCTCTCTCTCTCCCTCCATTTTTTGCAGCTGTTTCTATGAAAACATAAACCTGCAAGCTTTATTGTTTCGTCTTCAGAAAGTTGGAACTGTCCTCAAAAACACGCAGGCATCTTTATTCCTGAAATACTCCCTGTGTGCAGATGTGTGGTTTCGCTTCAGCAGCAGTGTTTTGCTAAATTACAAAGTGAAATGAAGCAATTAGCTCGGCCTCCGGCATGGCAGCCCGGCCGTTCTATCCCCTGCTGCTGCTCCACAGCAGCTCCTGTACATCTTCTTTGTGAATTACCTCCCATAAATATACACGACATGAGAGTGAGGAAGGAGCCCATGGTCCCACCTCTCCTGTTTGCCCGTTTAAAGCAAACGACACAAAAATTTCAAAGACCAACCTGCTGCAGGGCAGCAGATCAACCTAGTCTCCCAACAAGCCTTTGTTTTGATTTACCAAACAAGAATAAGCCTTTGTTTTTCCGAGTTCTACCTTCTAGTCTTAACGAATTAGAAAAACATTAAAAATCCGTTATGGACGTTTTGATAATTTACTACCAGTGACTCTGAACTTCACCTAAATCACTTACAGTTTAGTGTCTTTAAGAAGGTTCTGGACAATTATAATCTTACCTGTTCCAAAAAGCTTTTTGAATGACCTTATTATGGAGAAATGATTAGCTCTGATCAGAGACAAGCTAGCTAAAGTGTGGCTAATTTCATTTTATAAACCTCTCCACTGCTGTTTCATGTTGCTGAGCTAGCTTAGCTCCACCGCAAACGCTCGCCACAAATAACCATAAAATTCATAATTATGGAATACAGAATACGTGTAAAGGCTCATAAAAAGTTATTTCATGAACTGCTCTTACATTTATGACATAGCAGTAATCTTCGTTAGCGCTAGCACCACTGTGGTTAGCTTTTAACTTGCTAATATCGTCAGAATGATTCTCTGTTTCTACAAACTGAGGTTGTTCAAAGAGCTATCTACAACCGGTAAGATGTTAACTGTTCATCACTCTTCACAGGGACTCACTGGAGAAGTTCTAAACTATCACTTTAACAATATTAAGAAGAAGCCAATGGCTGCTTAAAGCTAAGCTAAGCCAAGAAACTAGAGTAAACTAGTTAGAAATGTTGGTAAATTAAAGGATTTCACCGCAAAACTCCAAGAAACACAACTAAACTAGGAGTAATGTAAAAAAAATTAAAGAAAGTGAATTTAGGTTTTAAACCAAAACTAATTTCCTTTTGTTCCGCTGACAACATCTCTGAGGTAACAGTTTGCTGCTTGAGATGGTTGCTATCCCTAACATGGCTACTAGACGTCAGTAATCATTGCACACTGTTCCTTAAAGAGATAAAACAGTTAGCCAGATTTACATCCACACAACCCAAGTTTCTACTCCCAAAGGCAGACAGGAGTTGAGAGTCAGCCCCGACTACCGTCTGTCCGCAGACAATAAAAAATCAACTCCCAGGCAGAAGAACAGAGGTTACATAAGTCTGTAACAAATATCTGCTAAAGTACATCGACGCACAAAGACCCGTGAAGCACTGAAGGGCTTCTAGATGTGCTCTATTGGTGCTTTGGCAAATACTTTTAAAAACAAAGGAACAAAATAGATGACATCAAATAAAAATAAATGCTATTCGTGAGGCAACGTTGGTTGTTAAGGCTGTACTGTGGCTGTGCTTGCTTAGTATCTACTGATGGGTAATAACTGCATACTGTCAGGTGTGAGAAGAGCAAAGAGGGTGGGTTGATAGGGAGGAGGCAGGAGGCACTATGTGGAGTCTTCTGGCTCTGATTTGATAATCTTCTTCTCTGCGTTGCTGGATGCCCGCTGTGACGTCCCATTTTCTGGAGACGCAGATAAATAACAGCATCATCAGCAAACTGCTTTATAAAAACATACAAAACCAGAAGATGGGACTCGGAAGAGAACGTAAGAACTCCAAGTGGACGCCACTGACCTGTTGCTGGTATTTTGGTCTCATCTGTGTTGCTGTTGCTGCTGCTGTTATTGTGGTTATGATGACGCTTCAGCTCATTGGCTAGCTGCTTGCCCAATGGGAGGTCACCTTCTTGCATGCTCTGACTGACCACTCGCAGGTTGATTGGTTGGTCCTCTAAAGACAAAACCACACAGACAACAACAGATGGTAAGTCTGTGGCTCTTAGCTCAGATTTAGTACTGTCTGTTTGAGAGCAGGAAGCTTTGGGGGAACATGCTACAACCGGCAAACGAGCAAAGACAGAAATCATAAACGACAGGAAAAAGTGCAAAAAAAAGAGGAAGAAAAGAAAGCAGAAGAGGGGGAGGAGTGAGAGAGCTAAACACAGAGTGAAAGAGACGCCCCCCTCTAGGCTTCTGGCTGGAGGTAAACAGGCGTGGGCGTGATAATTACAGGTGCATTGTGGGATTTGTGGGAACAGCGTTATAATGAGCTGTCAGGAGTGGGTGAGGGAAGAAAGGATGAAAATGAGATGAGGCCTGGAGGAGAAGTAAGATCCTAAATAATGATGCACTGTTTTTTCTTATCTCCCCCCCCCCCCCCCCCATCTTTCCATGATGAAAGATGGAAAAATGGGTGACAAGTTTCCATGGCTGAGTGAGGGAGAGCTACAACTTTAAAGGTGTAGCTCACTAAAACCATATTTTATTTATTATTTCTGATTATAACCGGTCACTCTGAGTTTTCATGCAGGCTGGGCATGAAAATAGTCTCCTACATGTATCTCCTGCATTAGCTTCTGATAGAAAACAGACAGTGAAACTCTAGAATTTGAAGATCCTGAAAGATCTACATCACACTGTCACTTAACATTCATGGACTCACCCATCTTGACCCACAACGTGAAAGGGTGTTGTTAGTTTAACATCCGGGGAACAGCAGAGAACGTCTTGATTAGTAGAAGCTAGCCATTAGCATTAGCAACTCCACCACATAGCAAAACTCCTCCAGGTTTATGTTATTTGTGGAGATAAAACATCAACGCTGCAAAGTAAACTGAGTTAGTGGTAAAGTTGTGTTGCTGTTAGCCAATCAGAGGTGAGATGTCTAAACGTCAGGAAATAAGACTCCAAATCTTGTCGTCTGAAGCTCTCTGGCAATCGTTAAGATCCTGAAGCAGGCGCACCAGGGCTTTTTGTAACCAGAGTACAACTTACACAGGATTAACTCCTACTAGAGACCACTGTAAATGTATTGGTTAAACAAGTGAACCACACCTTTAAGTGTTTACATCCACTCAACCACATCTTGTTGCTCTCAGGACACGAAATCAGTAAGTTAAACTCAGGGAAGCACCAGGTTTAATAAAGTTCAGGTCCAGGATAGCTAGTTCCCTCTAAGGTTTCTTCTAATTGGAAACCGGCAACAGCAGAGCGACAAACACAACAACAAAGGCATTTAACGCCCCCTAGTGGCTGGTAGCAGGATGAGTATTTAGACCTGCCCCTTCTTTATAAATAACTGAGAAACAAATCATAAATTGGCTGAAAACAGCTTTTATTTTTTGTTAATTTCCTCCTAAAGAAACCATGTTTTTATGTATCATGAACAGTTTATTTCAAAGATCAGTTTACCATGGCCATCTCTGCTGGTGTCAGCTGTGACTCCATTGGTGTTCTGGGCCTCGCTGAGGTACTTTAAGGCAGCGGGGGGGATCCTCCAGTCCAGAGCCTGCAGTCGCTCCTGGACAGCGGCGTCCTGCAGGATCTCCATCTGCCTCGCCAGAAGGCGCTCCAGCTGCATCTGATCAGCACAGATTTTAACAGGTTTTAGAAATAAACTCTAACTTCTGATGTCTGAAACAATCTGATGAGTAAAGAGTGGATTAAAACGCGCTGGCACTCATTAGCAACAACAGGTAGTGCAGGGGTGCCCAATCCTGGTCCTCAAGGGCCGGTATCCAGCTTGTTTTAGTTTTAACTCTAATTCAACACACCTGATTTCAATCAGCAGGTGATTAACAGGCTTCTGCAGAGCCTGATGAGATGCTGCACAGGTGATTCAACCAGTTAATCAAGTGTGTTGGAGCAGAAACACCACAAAACCTGCTGGAAACCGTCCCTCCAGGACCAGGATTGAGCACCCCTGAGGTAGTGGTTCCAGTTCAACTTCACCACCATTAAAACACCCAGAATGTGTCAGTTTTTCTTATTTTTGTGCATAAATGTTATTCCTTTGTATTATAACGGTTCTAAATACAATTACAGGTCACTTTGGGACAAAACCAATCAGCACAACTAAAAAGACCAGACCTAATCCACAAACATTATCAAACTAATTGATTCGGTGAGCATTGACTCTGGGTAACTATCCGTTTGACTTGAGCTGTAGCTGAATCGTTTCAAGAATAAACTCAAAGTGAGCTTATTGTCAGTCACTGTCACTTTAAATCTCTGCAGGACGCGTTTCACATCCTCACACGGTGATCTGACGGCCCGCGGCTCCATTGCAGCCATGAAATCTCTTCTTCTCCTGAATGCGATTTATGAAAAATCACATCAGCATGACAAGTGTAGCTGCAACCACACAAACACACGTGTGTGTGTGAGGAAGTGAAGAAGCACACGTGTTCCTGGGTAATGGGCTGTCAGAGAGCTCTCCTCCTACACTTCAGCTCTAATTAGGAATAAGCAGCAGCAGGAAGAGCTTGACTGGGATCAGACTGGATCCTGGTGCTGGTGAGGTTCTGCTGACTGGACGGCGTGTCTCAGAATCACATCTGATTAGAGATCTTTATTTACATCAAAAACTGGGAGAATTAACAGGTTTCATTCTTTAACTGAGAATTAGAAACTTAACTTTAGATCAAATAAACTGAGTCAGTATTTTATGTCTGATTTACCTTTTTGGTAACACTTTATAATAAGTGCACACTATTAAGCATTAGTTAATCATCAGTAAAGCATTGGTTAATGGTTATTTAATCATTTGTAAAGCATCTGCAAAAACATGATCATAATTACTTAACGGCTTACAAGCACCACTATTAAGGCTTTATTCATGATGAAGAAGCTACTATGTCACACTTCTTATTCATGATGTTTCATGATCTATAAGTCATTGATAAATCATTTATAAACTCTGCTCTCCATCATTTACAAATGTTTAGTTTATAGTATTATATAGGGTATATTAACTATTTACTTACCCTTTACCAGTGGGGTTGTATACTGTTTTACATCATGAAAGGACTGGTTTGTAAATGATGGAGAGCAGAGTTTATAAATGATTTATCAATGACTTACAGATCATGAAACATCATGAATAAAAAGTGTGACATAGTAGCTTCTTCTTCATGAATAAAGCCTTAATAGTGGTGCTTGTAAGCCGTTAAGTAATTATGATCATGTTTTTGCAGATGCTTTACAAATGATTAAATAACCATTAACCAATGCTTTACTGATGATTAACTAATGCTTAATAGTGTGCACTTATTATAAAGTGTTACCGATTTGGTAATTGTTTCAAAATCCCTTGAGGCTCCCGCCATCCTTCTTGAGGTATTTTGTAATCTCGTGAATCCAACAAGACTTCAAAGGTCACGGTTTGCTTATGCAATCTTCCATTAAACCAAAAAGAAGGAAATCACGTTCCTATCGCTGTTGGATGCCATATATGATGTGTTTCTCACGTAAGTTTATATGAAATTGCATCAATGTATTACTTTTATTTTGAAAATAACTGGGGATTTTACACTGAAATTGTATGTGATTTCCTGTCAAGCCCAAAGGTAACTGCGGAAACTGACGTGTCCCAGAAGCGGCGTGCGGCAAAAATGGAACCTGATCCCATCTGTAGAGGCGCGGCGTGCCGCTTCTGGAATGCGCCTGAAAATTGCTGTCGCGGGTGGTCTGGAAGAGAGATGTGACGTTCACGAAGGACTCGCATCTTTGGAATGGGTTTTCAAAGTGAGCAATGAGAGCTGAGTCCCTGTAGAGCAGGGCTGTTCAGTTCCGAGCCTTGTGGACCGGTATCCAGCATGTTGTGTTAACCCTGCTTCAACACACCTGATTTTTTCATTCAGCAGGTGATTAACAGGCTTCTGCAGAGCCTGATGAGCTGCTGCACAGGTGACTCAACCACTGAATCAAGTGTGTTGGAGCAGAGAAACCACTAAAACGTGCTGGATCCCGGCCCTCGAGGCCCGGAATTGAATAGCCCTGCTGTGGTGAGCCGTTTATCTTGTCTTCCAGTAACACGCCCTGATGCTTTCAGTGTGAACATAGCCTTTCTAATCTGTTTCTTTTTACTGTCTTTCTTTATTTAGCCAGGGTGAGTCCATGTGAGGTGAGCGGACTAAATCAACTAGTGCTGCTTGGAAATGACCAAATTCAGAGATCTTTAGAGACGCAAAATATTTTGCAGAAAATAATCAATAAAACTAAAATATAGAAACATAAAATCTGCTTCAGCCGGATAAACAAATTACCGCCGACACCACCGGGAGTCTTACCCACGTCAGCACATGGCCAGACTAAAAATACAGACCAACACCTTAACCACTAGACTACTGAAGCAACACAGCAACAAACTTGCCTAAGATGCTCTTGTAGGCACGTTTTGTCGGACCAGGCATGGGCGGAGCTTCACTGAAAGCATTTTATTTTCGGGTATATATTCAGGCTGATGAAAATAACTCATATTTTAGATAAATTACATCTCGATAGTGCGGTTGAGCCAACTGTAATATTTTATCATATTGTGACTGCCTTTGCACTCACAGGTTTAAAATAGCATGATATGGAAGCTTTAAGGCTTGGGGAAAACAAATGCCTCCTAATGGCTGGCTCTAAGCCCCACCCCCTCCATGTAAACCAATTAGAACAAATTCCTAACGTCCCACCTGTAAATTGCGTCCAACGGTTTCTTCTCCTTTAGACTTGGCACAGGCTAGCTGCTCCCTAAGCATCTCCTGCCTCATGTTGATGGCCTGCAGTGCCTCCTGGATGTCGAAAAAGTTCTCCTGAAGCAAAAATAACATCACATTTATGTTTTTAGGTTTTAAATTAGTGTGTTATTGTCATGTTATGTTTCATTGTCTGGACGTTCAGATGCAGCAGAGCGACAGGCCAAAAGGTCTAATTTAATTCTTGAACACTTTAAGAGCAGCTGGAGTCAAAATGGTAAAATAAATTTAAAGAGCAAGTCACCCCAAATCAACAAATTTTTTTGCTGATAAACTATATAAACGAGTGTCTAATCATGCTGCAGACACGTGTATTCAATAATTTGGCTCTTCAGTGCATCTTATTTAAAATTTAAATGTTCTGCCTAAAACTGTCAGTGTTGTGCCGTCGTCAGATAAAAACTCTGCACTGCATTTGAATTCAAATCTACCACCGCTATTGGCTAAGAGGTATGGTATGATGTTAACTGGTACATTATGATGTCACAATGCCGTTGTGATCCTGTGTGTGTGTGTGTGTTTGTTAGCGGCTCTGCCCTCTCGGTCTGCTAGGCAACAGCATTTGTTGCATTTTTCAAACATGAAGTGGGAGTGAAGTAAGTTTCTAGTAGGGGCTGACTTGCTCTTTAAAGAAACATAAAACACAACAAACGTATGTTTCTGGGAGATCTGGGAGGTTAAAGGTCAAATGAGGGTAAACATTTTTAACTAAACTTTTAATTGAAAAAAATCTCCTAAAATGTGAATTAAGTACATTTCTAAAACTAGAAAATGAATTTTAAAGGCAGAAAATAGTTTATTTAAAGAGCAAGTCCAGCCCCTACCAAAGTTTTACTCCACTCCCACTTCCTGTTTGAAAAATGCAACAGATGTGCCTAGAAGACCGAGAGGGCGGAGCCACTAACAAATACACACACACAGGCTCACAACGACATTGTGACATCATATGGTACCAGCTAACGTCCTAGGGTACCTCTTAGCCAATAGCAATGGCAGATTTAAATTCAAATGCAGTGCAGGGTTTTTACCTGACAACGGCACAACACCGACAGTTTTGGGCAGAACATTAATTTTTTAACTAAAATGCACTAAAGTGCAAAACTATTGACTACACGTGTCTGCAGCACGATTAGACACTCATTTATAGTTTATCAGGAAAAAAAGTTGATTTGGGGGGTGACTTGCTCTTTAAACTCATTTTATAATTTAAACTACAGTTAGTGCTCTTTTATCCATTTAACTCAATTTATTGTCATGTACTTTTTTATTAACCTAAGATTTTCTTAAACTTAACTACACAGAATTTTTATTCAATGATTACAGAGAGAATTGGGGCCGCTGAAAAGAAAAAAGAAAGAAAAGCAAGATAATTCAGACTTTTTTTCTCAGATTTTTGCTTTTAATCTGAAAATTCTGACTTTTCTCTGAATTATTAAAGTCAGAGCTCTAAGAAATATGTCAGAATTATCTTTCTTTTGATTTTTTTTCTTTCCAGTGGCCCAAATCCTCTTCCACACATTTAAACTCCGCTTTTTGTTTTCAGAAACAAACACTAAACAAAGCTCTGACTGTGGTAAATTTCCAAACTTGTAGTCATTAATTCTTTTCTCTTTTTTAACGACACATTTATCTCCTGTGATCAATTTTGTGGTTTTTCTGCAGGGATTCCCGCTTTTCCTTATCTAGTGAGCAGGTTTTGGATCACCTGCGCCTCTCTGTCCCTGCAGAGCTCCCAATGACCACATGTTCTCCATCATCAGCTCAGACTCTGAGAGGAGCCATTCAAAGATGAGCCTCGGCCGAGTGGGTCGGGAGGACAAACGCTGAGAGATTTCTTTGTACTTTGTTCAGCGGCCACACGGCCCTGAGCTTTTATCTCATGAGGAACGTCTTGCGGAGCTTCGTGTGCCAGACCTGAGAGCTTCTACTCATCAGGGATAAACTCAAGAGCTAAACTTTAGCATGTTTTCAAGTAAGCAGGAGATTTTTAAATACTGTTTCTGAAATGTGTAAAAAGGAAGAAATAAAACAAACAAGACGAACAAAACCTGCTAAAATTAAAGGGACTATAAGGAAGTTTGACAGCCAAAACATGTATAGAAATAATAAATGTCTTCTTCATACATTCTCCTGCAATGCCCTGGTCCTGTAGAATGAGCCCTGGCATTTTTACTGTGATTGCCTGTTTTTTTGTAAAATCACAGAAAAAGAGAGATGCTCGGGTCGAGCAGGCTGCTTCATGCGCGTTCACGCTCAGGCATAGCCCGTAGCATTTGCTATCCGTAGCTTTAGCAGCAGAGAGAGAGGCAGTGCCACTTTGTCGCTGTTCCTAACACCTAGTGACAAAGCTAGCTACATTTCTGAGGACCCTTAGCTACTTTCTGTAGAACTTTCTTCTAGATATTTCCTGCAAATTAACAACAAAATAGCCATTTTCGCTCCGAACCGTTCTTTGGTTTGACGTTGTTTCAGGTGTCAACAGGGATAGAAATGTTACAGATACAAATGACGTCACTGGCGCTTTAGCTCACCTAGTAAGACGTTGTACTCTCGTGCAGAAGACCTGGGTTTGAGTCTGGGTGTGAACATAGTTCATTTAGAGTTTATTTTTTACATTAATGGTATATTTTTTACAGTAAGATGCCCAAATTTTTATTTGAGACTCGCCGAACGGCATTGAATTCACAGATAAAAAAGATGTGGGTTCAACTTTCATTTTGGAACAATTTTTCAAGCAAGGGAAGGGAATGATCTGAGCATGCAGGAGGACTGACCCATCATAAACCTTTGTCGGCTGTGCTGAAGAGAAAGGTACAGAACCAAATTATTTAATTAATTAGCTGCACGTTCTCCTGTCCTCTGTCCTCCGGGCCACACACACACACACACACACGGGACTGTCTCGGCTATTATTTTCGTTAAGGAGTGTGCACGTACAGCATGCGCGCCTCGTGCACGAGCCTACTATTGAAGCTGCCGTTACGCTTTTGGCCTGAGGGGGCAATCGCGAGCATAAAAATTCAAAACTCTGTAAAGTCCCTTTAAGTTAGTAGATAATTTTTTGTGTTTTTGAAGGAAATATCATCTAAATTGTTGCATACAAAAACAAGAAACATGATTTTAAATAATCACGATGAGTCTGAAAACCACTAAAGGGTGCACACATTACCTCTGTTTTGATTCTCTTAGGGGACGGTTCGTCTCTGTCTCCACACCGAGATCTGAGCAGAAAACACTTAAATTCATTTCTGTTCTTGACTAAAATGTTTAAAAAGGAACAGAGACGTTGTGGGTGTACACGGGACGGGTCGTACTTGCTGGTGCGGTACGTGTATTTGTAGGTGACCTCTCTGGAAATCTGCCGGGCGAGTCCGAACAGCTCGTCTCGGCGCGTCAGCAGAGCCATGTCCCTCATGCAGAGCTGGGCCGCAGCCTCGTTCACCGTCAGCTGCACAGCAATCACAAACCATTCAGATCCAACAGAAACTCCCAAACCTCAGTGGTTCTACGGAACCTCGTCGCACCTCGTGCAGCGTCAGGTGTTTGCCGTCCCGCCTCTTGGAGTCGAAGCGTCCATAGATGGCGCTGTACTTCCGGATCTCCTCCTCCCTGCGAGGGTCGTCGTCACTCATCTCAAAGATGTGTCCGATCATCTTCGCCAGCTTCTTGTTGTTCTTCAGCTGCTCTTTGACCTCAGCCAGGTCTGTTTTAGGAAGTCCAGGTGCCATTCTATCCACGCACTCCAGAACCGACTGAACTGCAGCAGCGTCCAATGCCTCTAAAGCATCTCTGGGAGAGGACGGTGAGCCCAGGTCCGACGGCGAAAGGCTGTGTTCACTGTCATTGCTGTGGCTCGACCAGAACCGAGCCTCGCTGCTTCCCTGCAATGGGGACCCGGTGGACAGTTTGTCCCTGGCTACGTCCAGTTTGCCCGGGTCAGAGCAGGCAGTGGCGATGGCTTTGGTTATCTTTACGCTGGCAGTATTGGCCCGGTCCTGAGCGCTGAGCAGCGTGGGCGAGCCCTCAGGGAGCTTGTAGACTGGGATGCTGCAGACGGGCAGCGAGGTGAGCGGCTGGTTAAAGATGGCTGGGTTGGTGACCCAGTCTCGTAGCGCCTTCTGGAGGCGCCGGACGTGCAGCGGTTTGCTGGCCATCCCCACCAGGGCCATGATCTCTAGGAACTCCTCCTCCCCTGCTTCACACAGCTGCTGCACGTCATCGCCGCCCTGCTGGATGAAGGCCTCGTAGTAGTAGAGCAGGTTAGCCCGTTGCAGGATCCTGTAGAGCTGCAGCTCACCCAGAGTTCTGGGCAACACCGCCGCCATACCTGGGACAGGAAGACACAGGAACAGCTCAGATGTTAGCAAACAAACGGCAAACAACAGGAGCAGAGCTGAAGCACAGCAGAGAGGAAGGGGGAGGGGCTTAAGTACAAAAAACTAAACACTTTCCCTTGACTCCTGACTGAGCAGTCATGTTCTGCTGAACAACAAACGGTGATCAGAACTCCTCCGGTCTTTATGGAGAAGTCAGACGGAGAGAAGTAGCTCATGTCTGAACTCATCAGTGAACACAAACCCTTTCCCTCTCTGCCTCTTCGCTAGCAAACACACTAAATGACCTACATTTGACCAGACTGTCATGATCCGCCCCGGCCTCCCTGACTGTGTCTCTCCTGCCTTGATTAACCTTATTGTTCTCACCTGTCCCTCGTTACTCTGCCCAGGTGTTCCTGATTTCCCTGTGTATTTATACCTCCCTCCTTGTTGCTGTCTTCGTCGGATCATTGTTTGTTCATGCGTGTTTTGTCCCATCTCTCCCGTTCCACCATTAAACCATTTTTATTTTTTCCCATCCATGCCTGCTTTCCTGCCTCCTGAACCCTCCACCACACTTGGTCCGCCATCTCCACCCTTATGCATCATGACACAGACAAGACAACAAAGACGCTTTTAATTAGCAAACACTACAAACTAACTCAGAACACACATGATTTATACAGATTTGGATATTTTACATTTTTGATCCATAAACATTTTTATGTTTATGTTTGTTTATTTGGCAGACGCTTTTATCCAAAGCGACTTACAATCTATAACCTATAGGGCATGTTGTGATCTGTGGGGGATACCGGAGTACCCGGAGGAAACCCACGCATGCATGGGGAGAACACACAACTCCACGCAGAAAGGCTGCAGCCGAGTTTCGAACCTGCAACCTTCGTGCTACGAGGCAACAGTGCTAACCACTGCGCCACCATGCAGCCAATAAACATTTTTGTCTAAAAGCCTTGATTTAAAGTCGAAAACGTGCCTTAAATGAGAGAACACGAACATGAAAATAGTCTCCTACGCCTATCTCCTAAATAAGCTAATGATAGACGGTGAAACTGTAGGATTAGAAAAGCCGGGCAGAGCTTTGTCACACTGTCACTTAATGTTCATGGCCTCACCCATCTTGACTCACAGCGGGGAGGGCTGTTGCTGGTTTAGTTTGCAGCAAAGATAAGATAATGTCCCAACTAGCAGAAGTTAGCCATTAGCATTAGCAACTCCACCACACAGCAGAACTCCTCCAGACTTGAGTTGTTTGTGGAGATTAAACATCAATGTCGCAGAGCAAACTGAGTCAGAGTTGTGTTGCTGTTGGCCAATCAGAGGTGAGATGTCCAAATATCAGGAGATAAGACTCCAAATCCTGCCGTCTGAAGCTCAACTCTGATGTGCCTCACTTCTAGTTCCTGAAACAGACTCGCCAGAGTTTTGTTTCCCATAGCATTCATACCCATGAGAGACCTCTGCTAATGCATTGGTTAAACGAGAGCGCCGCACCTTTAATGAAAGCAGCTGCTTTTTGAGGCATTTTGTTTCACATCTAAAGAATTTTCTCATTTCAAACAAACACTTTATGTTAACTTTTCTGTTTGGAATGACGAAACACTCCGATGGGAGGAAAACATCCTCAGAAAGTCAAAATAAAGTCGGATTGTTTTGGTTTGACCTCAGTGGGACCACCACGCTCTGAGTGACTAAGAACATTCACTCATTTGCTGTTTTCTACCTAAAATCTCAGAAGTTATTTTCCCGTTGCTGTTCAGCTCTGAAAGTGTCTCATATTTCTCCGAGGAAACTTTTCAGCTTGTCCGTTTTCTCCTGACAGCCTGTCTCCTGAGTATTTATCGTCCTCTTCAGTCTCAATCCGTCCAAGCACGGGGACAATAACGTCCCAGGCTGACTCCTGTCATTTACCATCTTAGGCTGGGGCTTGTCTCTGACTCTCCCTACGAGGCCCTGCGGAGGCCCGGCTCACTGAGGAGTGGCAGTCAGCCGACCCAGATACTGGGAGGACCACATGCCTCTCTCCACCCCTGCAGGATGTGTAGGTGGTGGGCTCGCCTCGCCCAGAATAGGCGCGGAGAGCCAAGCAGGCGTCGACTCCTGACTGAGCTGGAAAACGACTGAGACAAAAGCCGCTGGAGACTAAAGTCGTCCTCTGAGCCAAGTCACAACCTTCAGATAAAGAGATCCGACTGATGAGCTGGGTTTGGTTAGAGCTCTCACTAACTTTTTTTCTGTCTAAAATAAAGACTAATTTACCCAAATTTATTATCCAATTTGAATTTAAATATCTAAAATTTGTAATTTTCACATTGTTGTTAAAATATTTTACCTGAAAGAAGTTTTATGCCTGTAGTTCTCTTTTGAGGCATTTAGATCATTCAGAATGTCTTAAACCTGTGCTGGAACTTCAAAATAAAAGCCTTTCTGGTTTGGATTTTATGAGATTGATTACTACTGCAGGTCGGTGCAACGTCTCATTTAGCAGGAATATCAGAAAGAAAATAGGATCATAAAAAGCTCCTCGTTTCAATCCTGTGATGTTTCAAAATGAAATCCTAAATAAGGATGGCAGAATGAGGGCAAAATACACCGGAAGCATGGTTTGTGTAAAACAAAAACATACCTCAGTGTATCCGGCGATAACTTTTCCATAAAGTTCTAATTTTTAACATCAACACACACAAACTTCTTGTTTGACCTTCCAGGCTTCAGTTGCTCTTCGCTGCACTTGGAGCAGCTCAACTCAGTTACTGATGATTTCAACCGGTTTCTAGTCTCTAAAATGTGAACTCTGGATAATTTAGGTTTACAGGAGATGAAAACTTCTGCTGTAAAAAAATATATATATTGTTTTGAAGCTTGCAGCATTTACCAGTTTCCTTGTCCGGCGATCGGACCGCCAAGGCTCCCGCCTCGGTCTGCCACCCGATCCACACTGCACCAGACCCTTCATGTTTCTCCTGCTGGTGGTGGGTCCACAGTTGGTCTTGTTCACGAGTGAGGGTAGGAGGGATCGGGAGATCGACAGGCGGATTGGTTCAGCGTCTGCAGCGATGCGGACACTGAGCCGATCCGTCGTGGTGAAGAGGGAGCTGAGCCAGAAAGCCAGGCTCTCGATTTACCGGTCGATCTACGTCCCAATCCTCACCTATGGTCATGAGCTTTGGGTAATGACCGAAAGAACGAGATCGCGGATACAAGCGGCCAAAATGAGTTTCCTCCGTAGGGTGGCCGGGCTCAGCCTTAGAGATAGGGTGAGGAGCTCGGACATTTGGGAGGAACTCGGAGTAGAACCGCTGCTCCTCCGGATCAAAAGGAGTCAGTTGAGGTGGTTTGGGCATCTGGTCAGGATGCCTCCTGGACGCCTCCCTGGGGAGGTGTTTCGGGCATGTCCTGCCGGCAGGAGGCCCCCGGGTCGACCCAGGACACGTTGGAGAGGTTACATCTCCAATCTGGTCCGGGAACGCCTTGGGATCCTGCCGGAGGAACTGGTGGAGGTGGCCGGGGAGAGGACGGTCTGGAGCTCCCTAGTTGGGATGCTGCCCCCGCGACCCGGACCCGGATAAGCGGAGGAAGACGACAACGACGGCTTGCAGCATTTAACCCAATTTTTTGGTTCCTCATGATCGCTGTGGTGTACTTATGATTTTCGTGTTTTTGGTGTATTCATCTGTGTCCTATAGCTCTATGTTTTTTGTGTATGTGATTTTATTGTTTACTGTTTTAACTTTTTCTTGTTTTTTTTTTTTTTGCTCAGATGTATTTATTTGTTGTGATTGTTCCTCATTCACAACAACCTTTGTTGTCCATTGTTCTTACTGTTCAGCACTTCGGTTGATTTTATTGTGCACAAAATGCTCCATAAATAAATCTGGATTGGTAATCAAAGTAAACACTACTAAAGTTGTTGATTCAAGCGGCCCTGTTTAATGTGTTTTTGTTAAACTGGTATGACAAGCTGTGACCTTTGACCCTTCTTTGTTTGGATGCTCCTCACCTGTCACCAGATCAGAAAACTTCCAGATGGATGATATTCTACGCTCCATAAACCAGAGCATTGATTTGAAATTTGTGTTTTAATTAAAGTTTCAATAGAAAAAAGACTAATAGGATTGAAAGAAGTTCAAACAGCTCACGTGTTGTTGTGGAGTAACGTGGAAACAACAAAAGCAAGCAAAGAACAGGCGATCCTGAGGAGCCTTAATGAAGATGAGGTGGAAACAACACGAGACGTCACTAGTCAACGTTAGAGCAGACGATGTAAACATGTGGGCTTGTGGAGCTTCTTAAGGCGCTCTCGTCCTCCTCCGCTGGTTTAGGAGTAACTCAGAGGAGATAAAGGCTGATGATTCTGAGCTTAAGATGGTTTTTAGGGTTTTATTGGTGCATAAAGACGACTGCTGAGCTTCTCTGAAAAACAACTGAGATAAAACCTCTCATCTGCGCCGCTTAAATCCACTTCTGTCCACTAATACTTTTATTTTCTGTAAAAACCAATTATCTTTACAGTTGATGAAAAGCACAACAGAAATATGACATTTGGGGGCCTTACTCGTTTGGATTTGTAAAGTTTGACTCCCAGATGTTCCTTTGGAACACGAGCAGATGTTGCAGCGGGAAAAAGCAGAGTTTCTGGTTTGTTTTGTGATTTTTGAGGGAAAAACTAAACTAAAACAGTGTGAAGGAGGAATTCTGGGGTTTCCATCATCCAAACCTCCAGAAAACATTCAGAGGATTTATTTAAAATCTGAATCCCACTTCTAACTGGTTTCCAGCTCAACTAGTTTCTCTTAAGGACATGCTACTGCTGCTCATCCAGGAGCTCCCTCACGCCTGAGTCAGGACAGAATTCCCATTTTTCCTGAATGAGGGAGAATCCTGGAAGGCGCGTGAGGATGTGATGAACACAGACAAATCACATTCTGAGATTCCTTTCCTAAAACGTCTCTAGCAGCTAAATACAGCACCAGTGTCCCCAGCTGGCAGAAAACATCCATTTAAACCAGAAATGAGGTGAGGATTCCTGCAGGAATTTGCTGACTAAATGATTAAAACTCTTAAAATCTTGCTGTGTTGTGTTAATAAACCATTGCCCAGGCCAGGAGGCTGACAACTGGACCTGCTGCTGCTGGTTTCACCCATTTCTGCTCTTTATGGGGAATAAAATGAGCTTTTCGCTGATTAATCCTGCAACACTTATCTTTCTGTGTCTGCTGGATAACACGATGTGCCAACTTTGTGTTTCATTCACATGATCTCCTACATTACCGTCACCTTATAATGGACCAGTCTGGGCTCTTCATAGCAGAGCCCAGCTCCATCGTGCTGAGTCCGGTTCTAATTTAACCTACCTGGTGAGTTGTTGGCCCCCTTCGGCGCGCTTTGGTCCAGATCCTTTCCGTTCCCCTCCTCCTTCCTCTTCAGTGTTTACCAACACAAATCGTTTGTTAGTTTGTGCAAAAAAAATTAACAAATAAAGTAAAATCCCACAAAAACTAATTATTTCCACAGGAGGAGCGAGACAACCCTGATGTATGAGAAGAAAATGTAACTTCCAAAAACCAGAAAGCGTGATTTAGTCTGCCGGGACAGAGCGCCTCTCCTCTCCTCTCAAACTTTTCCTCCGTCTGCTGTTGAAGAAAAGGCAAGAAGGCGCAGATTACCGGAGTGGTGCGGATGATCTTTGTGCGTCTTTTTCCTCCAAGTGTGTGTTTGCGCGCGCGCGTGTGTGTGGAGTGCGTGAGCGTATGTGTGTGTGTGTGAGTGAGTGAGTGTGAGTCCTCTCCCAGCGTCTCTCTTCTCCCCCTGCACTGCTCACAAAGGTCAAATCACACGGTGCTGCGCACGCGAGCTTCCGGAAACAGGCACCAAAATAAAAGCACGACACATCTGAGGCCAAACGATTCGGGCTTTGCGAGTCGTTTCACCTGAAATACCACTGTCAAAAATAAGACTAAACGTTTCGATTTTAAACAGATAATCAGAATCAACAGAAATATTCAAGCTGCTTCCAGTGGCTCATTAGGAGTGCCATGGTAACCACCTCTGTAGCTGTTTTTACAGGACCATGGCGTTTTCCAAACGGGATTTGCCGCGGCACCCTGGGGAGGATTTTGTCATTTATAGTAGCAAAGCTGAAGCTAGAATAAACTGCCATCAGACAGCTCTCCAACCAAGACGGGATATGGGGAGGTCGCTGGGCGGCCCCCCCGCATGTGACGTACAGGGTCGCGCATTCAGCGTCAGACGGAAAACACATCAGACTGGTGAAATTTCTTTTTCAGGACCTTTAGCTTTGATGCGACCTGCGTTTTGTCCAGCTTGACGCCCCGCTCAGCCAGTGTTTTCACCACTCTGTGAAACAGCTGGCTGTCTCTCACCGTCCCCGTAAAAAGGCGACTAATCTGTTCGTCCGCTCGCACGGCCAAAAGCTCCATGGTCTCCACGTCCATCCAGCCGGCTTTCCTAACGCGACCACCCTCTTTTGCCGGGGGGGGGGGGGGGGGGGGGGGGGGGGGGCTCCCACAGTCACTCCAAAGTGATTAGCGGGGCTGACACGCGTTTAGCCGTCAGAGGCGAGGAGCTGATACGGCAATATTTCTACCAGGGATGGTGTTAGGCCCGGCTACTTGGGCTGAAGCCCCGGATGTTTCATGGAAAGCCCCGAATCTAAATCGCGGAAGTAACATGCAGTACCAAAGTCCAACAGAGAGGGAGCAGCTGGCAGTAGTTTGTATACAGCCTGCCTGAGCCTCCACCACTGAAGAAGAAGCCCTTCAGCAGCCGGCTTCTTCTACACTCTCTGCCTGAAACGCATGAGTGAAGATGGACATAAGGACGTTTTTTTAGACAAAAAGTACAACGACAGAACCCCAGCTTTGATGAGACTGGTGCTGACTCAGGTTTGTGAGTCTTGTTTGAAAATATTTGTTGTGCTGCTGCCTAAAGTTAGCTTATCAGGTAAAGTTGTTGGAGAAAGAAAGGGAATATTAACTATCATCTCACACTAAACACTAACAGGAACAATACTCTGCCCTGAAAATGCTTAATATGTAGCTTCAGATTAAAAATTATGTGGTACAAGACAAATATGATGTTGACTAGTGCGTGTCATGTGTGTGTGTGTGTGTGTGTGCGTGCGCGCGTGTGTGTGCCCCGGATCTTCTTCAGTCCTAAATCCGCCCCTGATTTCTACCAAGCGAGGCGGAACGAATGCCGCAATTATTCGCGCAATGCCATGCCGGCGCATTTATACCATTGCGGTAATATTACGCCGATATGCCGGCATGGTGTGTCCTATAAAAGCACATTGTGCCTCTCACTCACTGAAACCTAAAAGTTTAATTCATGATTTTTTCCCCCAAAGATGTAGGACAGCAATCAGAACATAACTGTACACAGAATAGTAGCAAGGATGCTTAAATATTTAAACACGTGAACTAAGAAGTAGGTGTTTATTTCCAAACACGACACAACATGTAGAGCACAATTCCCAAAATCCTAATTGATTAAAAAGTCACAACATTATTACAAAATGATTTTTATTAATCAGAAAAAGTTTAATGACTCATAAAAAGATGTCAGCATGGCTTTTATTTTACTGTCTGACAAAGACACCAAAGTACAAAGAACAAAACACAGTTACCATAGTTACATTTTAAATAAATAAAAGTACCTTTGAACTATTGCAAAGAAATCCAGGCTGCTTATATATACATTACAAATAACCGAAGTCTGAATGAGGACCTCATTTTTTGGATGCTTTTATTTTGTAGGCGTTTAATTTCCGCCGCGTCTTGACCACGTGCGACTTGACACGGCAGCTGAATAATATGGGATATTCCGTGCGGTTGCCACAAAGCCTCTTCTCCTCCCTTTCTCCCGCTCTCTCTCTCTCTTTCTCGCCCACGCTGCTCCCTGCGTGACGCAAATCCGCGCGTGGGCGGACACACGGGGCGTGGGAGGCTTTCTGCACGGAATACCAAACACAGGCAGGTTCGACACCCACAGAGGCTCGCAGAGAGACGCGGCCGTTTGCACACTTCACGCTCCCTGACGAACTGATCAGATTCACGATCTGCTGTATAACTACAGTCTGCGATTGTTAATAAACGTTTAAACCGATCTGAGAGCAGCCTGACAGCAAGCTGCATGTATTTGTGTAATCTTAGACACACGCCCGCACGCACACACGTATATATATAACAGAAGTTATAACTTGTGTTAAAGTCTGTTTAAATTCACCCTTCAGATTCAGAAGGTTTATGGAGACTACTCCCAGCTCTAAAGCCATGATGGGTTATATATGTATATATATATATATATATATATATATATATATATATATATATATATATATATATATATATATATATATATATATATATATATATATATATGTGTGTGTGTGTGTGTGTGTGTGCGTGTGCGTATATATATATATATATATCAGCGCTGGACTGACCATAGGGCATAGCGGGCAACTGCCCGCTGGGCCGACCCTTTCATCTTTTATGGGCCGGTGTCTGTTTTTTTTTTTTTTTTTTTTTTTTTCCTGGCCTGTAGTTGTTGCGGACAACTTGTCCGCGCCGCCCCACGCGACGCCTCGTAAAAGTTGGTGGATTGGCCAATTGGTAACAATACACTCTGGGCTGGACCAATAGCCAGAGGTCTGATGCACCCGCCAGTTGTTTGTGAATCTCAGTAAACAGACAGACGAGCTTTACAAATGGAGAACAAAAAACGGAAAGGAGGAGCGGAGAAAATTCGACTAAAAAAGAAACTGGCCCTTCAGGCTGATGCTGGCACATGTGTTAAAATCTCACAGTTGTTTGGTAGTGAAGGTTCAAGTAAAATCAATTTAGGAAGTGATGGAGCCTCAGCCCAGCGACAGGTTGGAGAAGAAAAGAGGGAGGAGGAGGAGAAACCCGAGCCGGTGTTGTGCCATAAATTGACTCGCTGCCAAAAAATGATTAGCCACCGCGGGATCGCGCACGGTTAGGTAATTGCATTTCTAGACAAAATTCCCCAGGATTTCGCCCTAAAACTCAGCATATCTAGCAATATGGACATTCAGAAAGCAAAGATAACCTCTTCCGGTACTTAAACAGATGTTTATCGCGGATATTAGTGTGGCAGTGTTTGTGACACCCTGCGCGGGAGCACGAGGACGTGCTTGTGGAAAGGGAGGAAGATGTGGCTGTGTGAGCATCCACAATGTCCCGATTGATCATGCGCCCTGGCTACTCGGCCAAAGAGATGTCCCTTTGGCTGACTGGTTAGAGCGTATGACTCTCACTTTGGGAGTCTGGGGATCGAATCCCGCCCGGGCACTCGTTTCTGCACCTTGCCACATTAGGTTTTCCAGTTCGGAAGTTGTTTTAAGTGTTGCTATTTGTCTTAAACGTTCACAATGAGGATATATTAATCCTTTTTGCAATATTTGCGATTGAAAGATGGTTTGTGCCACAAACTCTGTGGTAAGAACTGGCTTTCTTTATGTTACAGCTTTGATACTAAAAAAAATAAATAAACAATGTAAAATGGCACCCTGTATTGAATGTAAACGTTGTATAAATGGAAATAAACAATTCTCCAGCGATTTAATTTTTTCCCCTTCCTTTCTTTAGTCCACTTGACATGGAGCCACAGTTAACTAGTTTGGGGCACATTTTTACTTGAAAAAAAGTATTTAAAATGATCAAGCTTTGGCTTTAATGACACTGTGTAGGTTACTATCTATACATTACGTTGCTCTATTTAAAAGTAACAAGATAAAAGCACTTCAGCACATAAAATTAAGATTGTCACTTACCAAATAGACTACACCCTCCCGTTTACCTATAAGAAATGCCTCAAAATATCTTTAAATTCTTTATTGATGATTTAATTGTAGACAACAAAAATGGCATTTTACTTGCCAAAAAGTGATTGAATTGCTAAGATTTTCATGGAGGCTAAAATTGACCAAATAAGGGTTTTATGTATTATCTGTTGATGTTACTGTACTCATACTGCCTACTGTATCATCATAAACACCCCAAAAATGGCAACAAAAAAAAAAAAGAAAAAAAAGAAGATAAATTCCCTTGCCAAAAATTGATTACAGTGTCCTGGTCACCTGTAAAGGGTTACATTTACCTAAATATTACTTTATTTATTATCTCTTGATGTTATTAGTGCCATCACAGGATGCTGGGTGTCTTTCACATTCATAAACACCTCAAAAATGGCAACAAATGATCATTTCCCTTGCCAAAAATTGATTACAGTGTCCTGGTCACGTGTAAAGGGTTAAATTGACCTAAATATTACCTTATTTATTATGATGCTGGGTGTGTTCCACAATCATATTCGAATAAACATGAAAATATTCCGTCCGAATATCTGTTTCTTGTTATAAATATAACAGCTAGAAGGATTTACAGTTAAAATAGGAGAAACACGTGACTCCCCAGGAAGGGTCGTAACACCACTTGCCTCATGCACATAAGTGAACAAAACAAAGCAGCATGGAGACACTCCGTCTCCAACCACCTCTCAGGCAGCAGCCTGCACTCCCAAGTTCTACACATCACCAGAACATAAACAACCAACACAATAAAAGCAGTGTTATACAAAATGGAAGGCCTGTAGTGTTTATTCTCTTACAGTAACAACTTATCAACTTTTTGGAGGAATTTATTTGAGAATTTTTTGGTTTTTAGTAATTGTGCAATAGAAAAGTAATCGCTAGATTAATCATCTAAATAGTCATTAGAATAGTCGACTATTCGATAAAATAATCATCAGAATAATCGTTTTAAAAATAATCGGTTACCCC